AAAATTATACATCTGCACCATCGAGAGCATCCTGACTGGTTGCATCACCGCCTGGTATGGCAACTGCTCGGCCTCCGACCGCAAGGCACTACAGAGGGTAGTGTGTACGGCCCAGTACATCGCTGGGGCCAAGCTTCCTGCCATCCAGGACCTCTATACCAGGCGGTGTCAGAGGAAGGCCCTAAAAATGGTCAAAGACTCCAGCCACCCTAGTCATAGACTGTTCTCTCTGATAGCGCACGGCAAGCGGTACCGGAGCGCCAAGTCTAGGTCCAAAAGGCTTCTTAACAGCTTCTACCCCCAAGCCATAAGACTCCTGAACAGCTAATCATGGCTACCCAGACTATTTGCATTGTCCCCACCCCCTCTTTTATGCTGCTGCTACTCTCTGTTTATTATCTATGCATAGTCACTTTATCTCTACTTACATGTACATATTACCTCAATTACTTCGACCAACCTGTGCCCCCGCACGTTGACTCGGTACCAGTACCCCCTGAAATAGCCTCGCTACTGTTATTTTACTGCTGCTCTTTAACTTTTTTTAATTTATTTTTTACTTATCCACTTTTTTTCTTTCTTAAAACTGCATTGTTGGTTAAAGGCTTGTAAGTAAACATTTCACTGTAGGGTCTGTTGTATTCGATCTGCAGAGAAGAATGGGAGAAACTCCGCCAAATACAGGTGTGCTAAGCTTGTAGCGTCATACCCAAGAAGACTCGTGGCTGCTTTCAGTTTTTTATTTTTAATACATTTGCAAACATTTCTAAAAACATGTTTTTGCTTCGTCATTATGGGGAATTGTGTGTTGATTGATAAGGGGGAAAAACGATTTACTCCATTTTAGAATAAGGCTGTAACGTAACAAAATGTGGAAGAAGTCAAGGGGTCTGAATACTTACCGAATGCACTGTACATAATAAGATATACTAAATAAAATATACTAAATAAGAAATACATAATAAGATATACTAAATAAAGACAAAGGCTACAAACCAATAAATGAGGATCAGAATCTAATTGGTCAGTTTTGAAAAACCCAATTCCAACATTTAATATATTTTTTATACAAAGAATGAACAGAGAATTAATAATACATGGTGAGACTTCTAAAAGTACAAAAAATAGCAGAAAGACAGAAAAAAAAAGCAATAGATGCTGGAATGCAATGTATAGAACACAACAATGGAGTAATTGAACTTGTCTCTTAAAAACCCCACGTTACCCAAAACCTCATGTTACCAAAACCAAAACCCCATGTTACCAAAACCCCATGTTACCAAAACCAAAACCCCTTGTTACCAAAAACCCCATGTTACCCAAAACCCCATGTTACCAAAACCCCATGTTACCAAAACCAAAAGTTACCCAAACCCCATGTTACCAAAACCAAAACCCCATGTTACCCAAACCCCATGTTACCAAAACCCCATGTTACCCAAAACCCCATGGTACCATGGTGACAAAAAACAAACACTAAAAGGAATAATGGTGTTTGCAGTCACTCTTTTTAGATTTATTCCAAGGTTCTAGAAAGATAAACTAATTCTGAACGTGTTATTAAAATTAGAACCACTTAAGGTTTGTCACCACATTTTAAACACCAGTCCACTGCTGACAATATATTTTAAAACACAAAACTGACCTAAGATCAGCATGTAGGGTCAGCGTCATTCTACTCCTACTCCGTCCCCTGGGCTGCTCTCTCCTCTCCCGGTCCAGCTTCAGCTCTGGAGCTCAGAGAGACCATCTCCATGGCATTGGCATCAACATAAAGATCCATGCTGCTCACCCTGTTCACTCTCTTCTGCCTCCTGGTGGTCTAGGGAGACACAGCACCAAGAGTCAGACATTTCCTGGTTCTGTATCTCTCTCTCTTCTTATACTCAGTACAGTACTGAAAAACAAACAAGATAGTACAGCACAAGTCAAAGATACACACCTGGTTAATCATTGATATATATATATGTATATATATATATATAGACCAATGTAGAATCTGAATCCTGCTCAAACACACAAACATTTAGTTTAAATGACATGTAATGACTGAGTAAATGTTTATTTTTGAAACTTTTTTTGAATAAATGTCTTTTTTTGATGTAACCTTTATTTAATGGGTCAGTTAAGAACAATTATTTTATTTTATTGTAAATTCTTATTTACAATGACGGCCTACCACGGACGACACTGGGCCAATCATGCGCCGCCCTATGGGACTCCCGATCACGGCCGGATTGTGATACAGCCTGGAATTGAACCAGCGTCTGTGGTGACACCTCCAGCACTGAGATGCAATGCCTTAGACCGCTGCACCACTCAGGAGCCTTTACCTTGTAGTACAGGTAGATGGTGGTGATGGCTGTCAGTAGGATCAGCAGCACTACAACGTGTCTGATGATGAAGGCTGGCAGAGGAGAGGCTGCAAACAGAAACACCTTTGATGAGGGGACTGGTCATCATCATATAGATCTGTGGGAAATCTGTCAATGACAAAGTTATAAGTCTGGTTCATGTTCAGTTACCTGTGACGGTGAGGTTGAGGAGCTCACTCTCAGAGGAGAAGTTATGAGAGAAAACATAATTGTCATAAACACAGCTGTAGTTCCCTTGGTGGGAGTCATCTGCAGCAGGGAAGAGGAAGGCAGCAGAGTGATTGACAGCTGGCTGGGTCTGGGTTCTGTTGGAGCCGGTGAACGTGAGGAGGAAGGAGCCTCCTGGGTACTGTGGCTGAGCGGAGCAGGTGATGGTGAAGCTGTGGCCCCTGAACACTTCGGGCCCCTGGTGGCCCCTGGAGACCCCTCCCATTGAGCATGGGTTCCAATGCCTTAACATAGTTGTAGTCATTCTGGGTAGCTGTAGCATGGGTCGGAGAGATAGCTGTAATTAAAGAGGGAAGACATCATCTCCAGCACCACCCTAACATCAACATATGTGAAAATTGAGCGTTTCTATGTTTTGTCCTTTTGGAAGGTGAACCTTCGCCCTCAGTCTGAGGTCCTGAGCGCTCCGGAGCAGGTTTTCACCAAGGATCTCTCTGTCAACCTCATGGCTTGGTTTTCGCTCTGACATGCACTGTCAACTGTGGGACCTTTTATAGAGACAGGTGTGTGCCTTTCCAAATCATGTCCAATCAATTTAATTTACCCCAGGTGGACTCCAATCAAGTTGTAGAAACATCTCAAGGATGATCAATGGAAACAGGATGCGCTTTAGCTCAATTTCGAGTCTCATAGCAAAGGGTCTGAATACTTAAGTAAATAAGGTAATTCTGTTTTTGCAAAAAAATCTAAAAACCTGTTTTCACTTTGTCATTATGGAGTACTGTGTGTAGATTGTTGAGGGAAAACAATTATTTAGTCACTTTTAGAATAAGGCTGTAACGTAACAAAATGTGGAAAAAGTCAAGGGGTCTGAATACTTTCCGAATGCACTGAAGGTCAGAGGTCAAGCTGGGCCGGACCAAGAGTGGAAGAGTGGAAAGGTTTACTGGTTATGATGACATCACTACTGAGAAATCAGTAATGAAAAGATATTCAGATGACTTACATCCCACTGGGCGAAAACTAGTTGAATCAATATTGTAATCTATGTGATGACATTGAATCAACGTGGAAAACTGATTGGATTTGCAAAAAGTCATCAACGTCGGGGCATTTCGTCTTTTTTTTCAACGTTTGGACACACCCACTCATTCAAGGGTTTTTCTTTATTTTTACAATTTTCTACATTGTAGAATAATAGTGAAGACATCAAAACTATGAAATAACACATATGGAATAATGTAGTAACCCAAAAAGTGTTAAACAAATCAAAATATATTTTAGATTCTTCAAATAGCCACCCTTTGCCTTGATGACAGCTTTGAACACTCTTGGCATTCTCTCAACCAGCTTCACCTGGAATGCTTTTCCAACAGTCTTGAAGGAGGTCCCACATATGCTGAGCACTTGTTGACTGCTTTTCCTTCACTCTGCGGTCCAACTCATCCCAAACCATCTCAATTGGGTTGAGACTCCTTCTCTGTTATCAGGCAAATGAGGTTTACAGAGTGGAATCCCAAAATAAATGCATAAAGTGATTTAAAAAATACCTAATTTAGCTAGTAGTGCAAGACATTTTATAGATTAAAGGATAAGTAGCATATCATTTTAAATGTTTGATTGCTTTTCTCCTTCCAGAAAAACAATAGCTGATTTTAAAGGGCTTTTGGCAGATTTCAAAACTCTTCCTTGAAGGACTCAGGTAGGATACACTTGTGCTTCCTCGCCAAAGGGAGGCTATTGAGGAGGGGAGGACCATCTTTCTTTTGCCTAAATCGACCACTTATCGGTTTCCGGATCACGGCTGAGAGAAGATGGAAGAGAGAGGGCAGATGACAGACTTTTTCTCCAAATGAGAAAAGGCCAAAATGTCAGGGAAAAGGTTACTGGTTATGATGACATCACTGGTGAGAAGTCAGCCATAAAAAGATATTCAGTTGATGTACATGTTAGTCTGTCAGTCAGTTAAAGTGGTCCTCATCTGTAGTCCCTTTATGCCTTCTAATGTCAGGGTTCCAGATTGGGAAGAGACAATATTGATGTCATATTGAGTCTATCTATGGCTAGAGACACAAAAATGAGACATATAATTGAGTAGAAAACCTTTGCCTATACAGAGGAGCCATTCATTAACCATGGTACTTCATAGAAACCCCCGAGCGTTCCATTGACAGTCAATAGATTCCTCCCTTCCTCTCGCGAGCTTTATCAGCATGCTGTCAGATACGTGGCCCCGCGCCAAGCAGTTGCACATTAGCAGCAGGGGGGTTTCTAGACAGTCCGCTCCTTACACCGAAAGTGAAAACCATGCGGAGTTTATAGCCTAGTCCGCGAGTTACCATTGACTTTGCGAGGGAGAGCTCTGCCACTTTTATATAACGTCAAAGACATCGATATAACATATTGGCTTTTTGGAGAAGCATAGCTATCACTTTTTAATTTGAGTTTTTAGGCGATATGGAATCATCCCTGGAGTTCTCAAACTCGTTCACCAGTGTGTCTTCGCCCTCCGCGCGGTGTCGGATCTTCAAGATCATCGTGATAGGAGACTCCGGTGTCGGTAAAACCTGTCTCACCTACCGGTTCTGTGCTGGTGAGTTCCCCGACCGAACCGAAGCCACCATCGGTGTCGATTTCCGTGAGAGATTGGTCGAGGTTTGAAGGCGAGAAAATCAAGGTAAGAGAAGTATAAAGTTTAAACCATTATTTCAAATATTATGAACGAGTTGGGTCGAAATTAAATTCCGCGTTCCACAATTAATCCATCAGAGAATCACTGCGTAAAAATGTGCCTTTTCAGTTTTATGCATACGCATTTTAAGAAGGTGGTGTTGATTTCATTCAGACTGCACTCATTTATTCTGAACACAGACGCTTAACCAGTAACGCGTACAAAGGGCAGATGTCTATAAAAATGCCTCGAAGTATGGGGATAAACTAGATAGCCTAGGCGTAAGCTGCGCCCACTATTGCGCATGAACAGCAGTATGTGGTGTCATATTTGGTCTACAAGTCTTAATTATGTGCCTTTTGAAATATTGTTTTATTTGTACAGGACTAACAAACATGACTACTGTGTGTTCAAACAAAATGTAATCTAGATAAATGTTCATATTTCGTTTTTGCCTAAACCAGTGTAGGCTATCCAAGTGTCATTTTTAAATGCTCAGTTGAAAGGACTGTGACACAACACAGTGCTTGTTGTTTGGCCTCTTGGATCAACAGTCACTGTTTGGTTAAATAAGTAGGAATACAATGACAGTCTTTGTAACTTTAAACTAGTGCGTTTCAGAGTTACATACTTACATACAGCAGAACAAACCACATTTGCTTTTATATCCTCATGACACAGATGGAAAAAGGATTATCCCAATTTCACCTGGGCACATAACATATTAACATTAGTAGGTTTATTTAATGTGGTGAAAAAAGTATTGTAACATCAGTGATAGGCTACTTAATGTGATTGGTGTGTGTTTACGGAAACACAGACATGAAAGAGGATATTGGCCAACCCATGTCATCTTTATCAGAGCAGGGCACACTACATGATAGAGGAAGCAAGTCATGGTGAATAACAAGGCATTGTTTTGTGTGTGTGAGAGAGAGAGATTTAGCCAGTTAATTTCCCTCTTGCTGTTTCTTCTTCTGCTATCTCTTTTTCTGTCTTGCTCTCTCCTCTCTTGGATGGTCTGTAATTAGTGTTGTGTTGCGTCTTGCCTACATGTGCCTTTAATTAGACAGAAACATTCAGAGAAAACGTTAATATAAAGTGTGTCCCCCCCCCACATTGTTTTTGTGTAGGACCAACTCATAGTCACAATCACACACTGTTGATGACTAACACACATCCCTCCTCCACTCATAGCTACACACACACACACAGTGAAGCCGTCGTTTGAATACTGTGAGGTGGGCTCTAGGGAGAGTTTAGCGAGAGTGTGTGACTCATTCTCCCTGGTGGTGTACATGGGCCCACCGCTGATAATGAGCTAAAACAAAAACTCTCTCTTTGTCTCACATTCTTTCTTTCTCTCCCATTCTCTGTGATCTCAATCGTTACCTTGGAGTCCAGACATGGGTCTCTGAGAGAGAGAGAGAGAGAGCCCAGACATGGGTCTCTGAGAGAGAGAGAGAGAGAGCCCAGACATGGGTCTCTGAGAGAGAGAGAGAGAGAGAGCCCAGACATGGGTCTCTGAGTGAGTGAGTGAGTGAGTGAGTGAGTGAGTGAGGACCAGAGTCTCTGGGTTAGCAAGAGGAGCACGGAATAGTTTTTTCACTTTTGGGACTATCCAATTGGTTTCATTGTTCCGGGACAAATTAAATCAAGCATTGCCATCTTGTATTTCTGTATTTGACATCTTGTATTTCTGCCTTTTGGCATTTGTGTATTCTGGTTCTCTCAATTCAATTTAAAATGAAGGGCTTTATTGGCATGGGAAACGTATGTTAACATTGCCAAAGCAAGTGAAGTAGATAGTAAACAAAAGTGAAATAAACAATAAATATTAACAGTAAACATTACACTCAGAAGTTCTAAAAGAATAAAGACATTTCAAATGTCATATATATATATATATATATATATATATATATATATATATATACACACACAGTGTTATAACGATGTGCAAATACTTAAAGTACAAATGGGAAAATAAATAAACATAAATATGGGTTGTATTTACAATGGTGTTTGTTCTTCACTGGTTGCCCTTTTCTTGTGGCAACAGGTCACAAATCTTGCAGCTGTGATGGCACACTGTGGTTTTTCACCCAGTAGATAAGGGAGTTTATCAAAATTGGGTTTGTTTTCAAATTCTTTGTGGATCTCTGTATTCTGAGGGAAATATGTGTCTCTAATATGGTCATACATTTGGCAGGAGGTTAGGAAGTGCAGCTCAGTTTCCACCTCATTTTGTGGGCAGTGTGCACATAGCCTGTCTTCTCTTGAGAGCCAGATCTGCCTACGGCGGCCTTTCTCAATAGCAAGGCTATGCTCACAGAGTCTGTACATAGTCAAAGCTTTCCTTAAGTTTGGGTCAGTCACAGTGGTCAGGTATTCTGCCACTGTGTACTCTCTGTTTAGGGCCAAATAGCATTCTAGTTTGCTCAGTTTTTTTGTTAATTCTTTCCAATGTGTCAAGTAATTCTCTTTTTGTTTTCTCATGATTTGGTTGGGTCTCTCTCTCTCTCTCTCTCTCTCTCTCTCTCTCTCTCTCTCTCTCTCTCTCTCTCTCTCTCTCTCTCTCTCTCTCTCTCTCTCTCTCTCTCTCTCTCTCTCTCTCTGCAAAGTATGTAGAGCCCATTAGAGGCTAAAATGTTACTTGACTTGAGGTTACGATAAGACAGGGTTGACCTTCTGATTGGAAGCAGTTATCATGAGAGAACTGGAGGAGAAATCATTATATTGATGTTGGTCTTTTATCTGGCAGTTTGATATTGATTGTTCAGTCAACTGCTGATGTAAAAAGTGCTATATAAAATACATTGATTGATCGTAGCTAAAAATGGTAGTTTGACCAGTGAGTCGATACGTTGATGGGAAGTAGGCGAACATCATCTGCTGACTAACTGATGTGTGTTTATACAGCTCTCCTGCGCCCTCTCTCCTGCGCCCTCTCTCCTCCGCCCTCTCTCCTGCGCCCTCTCCTGCCCTCCTGCACCTCTCTCCTGCGCCTCTCTCCTGCGCCCTCTCTCAAGTCCCTCCTGCGCCCTCTCTCCACGTCCTCTCTCCTGCGCCCTCTCTCACGCCTCTCTCCACGTCCCTCTCTCCTGCGCCCTCTCTCCAACGTCCTCTCTCCTGCGCCCTGCTCTCCAACGTCCTCTCTGCCCTGCGTCCCTCTCCCCTTCTCAACGTCCTCTCTCCTGCGCCCTCTCTCCAACGTCCTCTCTCCTCCGCCCTCTCTCCTCCGCCCTCTCTCCTCCGCCCTCTCTCCTGCACCCTCTCTCCTGCGCCCTCTCTCCTGCGCCCTCTCTCCAACGTCCTCTCTCCTGCGCCCTCTCTCCTGCGCCCTCTCTCCAACGTCCTCTCTCCTGCGCCCTCTCTCCAACGTCCTCTCTCCTGCGCCCTCTCTCCAACGTCCTCTCTCCTGCGCCCTCTCTCCAACGTCCTCTCTCCTCCGCCCTCTCTCCTGCGCCCTCTCTCCTGCGCCCTCTCTCTAACGTCCTCTCTTTTGAAATCTGACACACCCCCTTTAAATCAGCTATTGTTTTCTCAAAAGACAAAAGCATTTAAACATTTAAAAATGATATGCTACTTATCCTTCTATCTATGAAATGTTTTGCACAACTAGCTAAATTAGTTTTTTATCACTTTATACATTTATTTTGCGATTCCACCCTGTAAACCTAATTTGCATGATGACGCGCGATTGGAGAAGTCTCATTTCATACAAGCAAATTTTCGTCCACTTTCCCTCTCCTCGCCGCCTCTCCTCGATTTTTACCTTGGACCTTTTTCTAAAGGAAGCCAGAGAGGAGAGAGGACGCAGGAGTTGAGCCAATCTAATTGAGAAAAGGCTTCTCATTCCCTCCCTCCCTCTCTCTTCTCGTCTGTCTGCTTCCCCCTCTTTCTCCATCTCTCTCTAAAACCCCTTCTCTCACATGTAGAAGTGTTTTAACACCCCAACCATCTCTCTCTTTCCAGCTCCAGCTATGGGACACGGCGGGCCAGGAGCGTTTCAGGAAGTCTATGGTCCAGCAGTACTATCGGAACGTTCACGCTGTTCTCTTCATCTATGATGTCACCAGGCCAGACAGCTTCAGAGGCCTGCCAGCCTGGATAGAGGAGTGTAGACGGTATTCACTGGGACAGGAGATACCCAGGTTAGTCATATACACAACCTGGATAGAGGAGTGTAGACGGTATTCACTGGGACAGGAGATACCCAGGTTAGTCATATACACAACCTGGATAGAGGAGTGTAGACGGTATTCACTGGGACAGGAGATACCCAGGTTAGTTATATACACAACCTGGATAGAGGAGTGTAGACGGTATTCACTGGGACAGGAGATACCCAGGTTAGTCATATACACAACCTGGATAGAGGAGTGTAGACGGTATTCACTGGGACAGGAGATACCCAGGTTAGTTATATACACAACCTGGATAGAGGAGTGTAGACAGAACTCACAGTGAATGGACATTCCAAGATCAGTAAGTCATATTAGAACCCAATTCCATTTGTCCTTTTTTGTTCATTTGCCCCCTTTACACTTGATCAGTTCCACATGGAGGCCCAGAGGAGCTAGCTCTATCTCGAGGATCAGATTCAGAAAAGCTGTATTGTGTCAGCATTGGGCAGCTGTGTTTACACACACCTCAACCAACACACAATGTAACAACACACAGTAAACACATTGTTTTGAATATTCTGTAGGGGACAACTTTGCCCTTTCGGTTGTAACCTGTAACGTTTTAAACTCTCCATATGTCTCCCCCTCTGCAGGTTCCTCGTGGGCAACAAGAGCGACCTCCGTGACACCCGCAGCCGTGACCCCCGCGCCATCAAGGTCGAAGGTCAGGTGACACGGGAGCAGGCCCAGAAGTTTGCCGCGGCCCACGGGATGATTCTGTTTGAAACGTCTGCTAAAAGCCTCCCTGGAGGAGGAGGAAGAAGAGGGGGTGGTGTTGGAGGAGAACCAGGAGGGGGGCATCAGGACAGCGTCGAGGATGTGTTTATGGCCCTGGCCTCCAGGCTGAAGAGACAGACCAGACCCCCTCCCCCGGTTCTCAACAACACAGGAGTGTCTGGGTCCTATTGTGGGTCCTATACAGGGACAGCTTCATTCAGACTGCCGGATAAGAAGAACCCTCATAAAGACTTCTGGACATGCACCTGTTGAGGGGGGAGGGAGGGAGGGAGGGGGACGGAGTGGGAGGGAGGGAGTGAGAGGGAGTGAGAGGGAGAGTGAGAGTGGGAGTGAGATCCTCTCTGATCAAGCATCTATATCAGTGGAGGCTGCTGAGGGGAGGACGGCTCATAATAATGGCTGGAATGGGATGCTACCATTCCATTTACTCCATTCTGGCCATTATTATGAGCCGTCCTCCCCCTCGAGCCAAAAATGTGTGGCATGGCAATTCAATAAGGAGATAGCTAGAGGGCAGAAACCGACTGGTACCCAGGATAAAGACGAAAGGGTCGTTCCACCAATCCGATGCCTTCACCTCATTTCAACATTCTGTGTTAAAGAGCACACGTTCAACTTCATAAAAAAATATGTTTTCCATCTCAAGCGGTTAAATAAAACAATGACTATAGTAAGTGGCAAATAAAGTGACAGGGTTGACCGTGACAGGGTTGACCGTGACAGGGTTGACCGTGACAGGGTTGACCGTGACAGGGTTGACGATATCATCTTAAATCAGCCATAAATCCCCTTATGACAAGGGGAATGGAAGCGTGTTACTGTATGTGCAACAAGGGATGGGCAATTGAATGCAAGCTTCACAAAACATTTGTAATTGTTAAAACATTTCTAGCCTGTCTATCTGTAGTTAATAGGGTTGACTTGTTACGCTCCACCGGTTCAGTTTTACTGCACAAAACACCAGAAAATGGCCCAAAACAGTAGAACAATCTCAAACACTTTTGCACTATGATTTGACGATTAGATGTTCAATGTTTCTTCAAAAAAATATTTCAAAAGGAATAGTTTCACCATATTAAAATGAGAGTTAAATTCACGTAACAGGGTTGACCTTAAAATGAGGGACTGGTGAAAAATGAATCACTAATCACATGAAATAAATCATAATGTTCAGCAATAAAATAACTAGGGCTTTACAATGATGGATACATGTTGGGTGTAAGTGGGTTAAAATCTTGCTAGAAGTCACAGAGGGACATTTCAAAATGCTCAATTCTATTCATATTGCACTTCATTTAATATAACAGGCTTTTAAAATTCAATATTGGTGCTCAATTTCTACCTAAAATATCAAAGGGACGCAAAAGGCACTCATTTCGTGGAACGACCCAGAAACAGTTGAGACTCTAGGAGATACTCCTCTGGAAGTACTGCATAATGTAACATTCTGACACTTGTGCGGTGGGTCATCTTTATCTGTCCATGTTTGCCATCTTTGGCATTGTATAGCAGGAAATATAGGACTGAAAATGTACATTCTTAATTACTTATGATGTGTGTAAATGTTTTCAATATTCAATAAAATAATCAATGTTCTACAAAGTTGTCATCAATAGTACTACTCTTTTCTGTGAACCGAATTGGGTTATATTGTTCATCCCATGGTAGTTTGTCTGATTTTACCACAGCGATCAAATGCAGGTCTGTATTACTTTTCAGTGTTCATTTTGAAGTTAGTTCAGTAGGTTTCTTGCTCTCTGGATGAGAAGAAGTTCAATAGCTGCCCCAGGATACAAAGGGAAGCACAGCCGCGAGCTGCCCAGTGACACGAGCCTACCAGACCAGCTAAATCACTTCTATGCTCGCTTCGTGGCAAGCAACACTGAAGCATGCATGAGAGCGTCAGCTGTTCCGGATGACTATGTGATCACGCTCTGCGTAGCTGATGTGAATAAGACTTTTAAGCAGGTCAACATTCACAAGGCCGCAGGGCCAGACGGATTACCAGGACGCGTACTCCGAGCATGCGCTGACCAACTGGCAAGTGTCTTCACTGACATTTTCAACATGTACCTTGACTGAGTCTGTAATACCAACATGTTTTAAGCAGACCACCATAGTCCCTGTGCCCACCTAAATTACTACTGACCCGTAACACTCAAGACTGTAGCCATTAAGTGCTTTGAAAGGCTGGTCTTGGCTCACATCAACACCATTATCCCAGAAAACCTAGGCCCACTTAAATTTGCATACCGCCCCAACAGATCCATAGATGATGCAATCTCTATTGCACTCCACACTGCCCTTTCCCACCTGGACAAGAGGAACACCTATGTGAGAATGCTATTCTCATAGTGCCCTCAAAGCTCATCACTAAGCTAAGGATCCTGGGACTAAACACCTCCCTCTGCAACTGGATCCTGGACTTCCTGACGGGCCGCCCCCAGGTGGTAAGGGTAGGTAACAACACATCTGCCACACTGATCCTCAACACGGGGGCCCCTCAGGGGTGCGTGCTCAGTCCCCTCCTGTACTCTCTGTTCACCCATGACTGCATGGCCAGGCACGACTCCAACACCATCATTAAGTTTGCCGACGACACAACAGTGGTAGGCCTGATCACCGACAACGATGAGACAGCCTATAGGGAGGAGGTCAGAGATCTGGCCGTGTGGTGCCAGGACAACAACCTCTCCCTCAACGTGACCAAGACAAAGGAGATGATTGTGGACTACAGGAAAAAAAAGAGGACTGAGCACGCCCCCATTCTCATCGACGGGGCTGTAGTGGAACAGGTTGAGAGCTTCAAGTTCCTTGGTGTCCACATCACCAACGAACTATCATGGTCCAAACACACCAAGACAGTCGTGAAGAGGGCACGACAAAGCCTATTCCCCCTCAGGAGACTAAAAAGATTTGGCATGGGTCCTCAGATCCTCAAAAAATTCTACAGCTGCACCATCGAGAGCATCCTGACTGGTTGCATCACCGCCTGGTATGGCAACTGCTTGGCCTCTGACCGCAAGGCACTACAGAGGGTAGTGCGTACGGCCCAGTACATCACAGGGGCAAAGCTCCCTGCCATCCAGGACCTCTATACCAGGCGGTGTCAGAGGAAGGCCCTCAAAATTGTCAAAGACTCCAGTCACCCTAGTCATAGACTGTTCTCTCTGCTACCGCACGGCAAGCGGTACCGGAGTGCCAAGTCTAGGTCCAAAAGACTTCTCAACAGCTTCTACCCCCAAGCCATAAGACTCCTGAACAGCTAATCATGGCTACCCGGACTATTTGCACTGCCCCCCCCACCCCATACTTTTTACGCTGCTGCTACTCTGTTAAGTATTTATGCATAGTCACTTTAACTCTACCCACATGTACATATTACCTCAACTACCTCAACTAGCCGGTGCCCCCGCACATTGACTATGCAACGGTACCCCCCTGTATATATAGCCTCCCTACTGTCACTTTATTCTATTGTATATATAGCCTCCCTACTGTCACTTTATTTTTACTTCTGCTCTTTTTTTCTCAACACTTTTTTTGTTGTTGTTTTATTCTTACTTTTTTTGTTTAAAATAAATGCACTGTTGGTTAAGGGCTGTAAGTAAGCATTTCACTGTAATGTCTGCACCTGTTGTATTCGGCGCATGTGAGCAATAAAATTTGATTTGATTTGATTTGATTTGATATTCATTGACTACAGCTCAGCGTTAACGCCATAGTGCCCTCAAAGCTCATCACTAAGCTAAGGACCCTGGGACTAAACACCTCCCTCTGCAACTGGATCCTGGACTTCCTGACGGGCCCCTCCCCAGGTGGTAAGGGTAGGTAACAACACATCTGCCACGCTGATCCTCAACACGGGGGCCCCTCAGGGGTGTGTGCTCAGTCCCCTCCTGTACTCCCTGTTCACCCATGACTGCATGGCCAGGCACGACTCCAACACCATCATTAAGTTTGCCGACGACACAACGGTGGTGGGCCTGATCACCGACAACGATGAGACAGCCTATAGGGAGGAAGTCAGAGACCTGGCCGTGTGGTGCCAGGATAACAACCTGTCCCTCAACGTGACCAAGACAAAGGAGATGATTGTGGACTACAGGGAATCAAAGAGGACTGAGTACGCCCCCATTCTCATCGATGGGGCTGTAGTGGAACAGGTTGAGAGCTTCAAGTTCCTTGGTATCCACATCACCAACAAACTATCATGGTCCAAACACACCAAGACAGTCGTGAAGAGGGCACGACAAAGCCTATTCCCCCTCAGGAGACTGAAAATATTTGGCATGGGTCCACAGATCCTCAAAAAGTTATACAGCTGCACCATCGAGAGCATTCTGACTGGTTGCATCACTGCCTGGTATGGCAACTGCTCGGCCTCCGACCGCAAGGCACTACAGAGGGTAGTGCGTACGGCCCAGTACATCACTGGGGCCAAGTTTCCTGCCATCCAGGCGGTGTCAGAGGAAGGCCCTAAAAATTGTCAAAGACTCCAGCCACCCTAGTCATAGACTGTTCACTCTGCTACCGCACGGCAAGCGGTACCGGAGCGCCAAGTCTAGGTCCAAAAGGCTCCTTAACAGCTTCTACCCCCAAGCCATAAGACTCCTGAACAGCTAATCATGGCTACCCAGACTATTTGCATTGTCCCCACCCCCTCTTTTACACTACTGCTACTCTCTGTTTATTATCTATGCATAGTCACTTTACCTCTACCCACGTGTACATATTACCTCAATTACCTCGACTAACCGGTGCCCCTGCACATTGACTCTGTACCGGTACCCCCTGTATATAGCCTCCCTACTGTTATTTTATTTTACTGCTGCTGCTTTAATTATTTTTTATTTGTATTTTTTGCTTAACCTCTTAAGGATCGGACCCTTTTTTTTTTTTTTCTCGCCTAAAATGACATACCCAAATCTAACTGCCTGTAGCTCAGGACCTGAAGCAAGGATATGCATATTCTTGACACCATTTGAAAGGAAACACTTTGAAGTTTATGGAAATATGAAATTAATGTAGGAGAATATAACACATTAGATCTGGTAAAAGATCATACAAAACAAAAAACATGCGTTTTCTTATTTATTTATTTTTCTCATATTTGAAATGCAAGAGAAAGGCCACAATATAATATTGCAGTTTAGGCGCAATTTAGATTTTAGCCACTAGATGGAAGCAGTGTGTGTGCAAAGTTTCAGATTGATCCAGTGAAGCATTGCAATCCTGGACTATTTTGTATCAAGTCTGCCCAAATGTGTCAAATTGGTCAATTGATACATTTTCAAGTACATACCTAGTACGTAACTATAGAGACCATACAAAAATGATATGATAATACAAAATGTAAGTTTATACACTCCCAGGATCATTAGCTTATACACTATACACTTTCACACATCTAGATGGCCGGGCAGGGTGGGTGTGGAGCCAAAGACAGCAGGGGTTCAAACTGTAGAACCCAGTTCCTACATTTGAACATAACAATTTATTTTATCAAATAAAACTATGCTACATTTTATCTCTGGGACCCTTAGGATGACAAATCAGAGCAAGATTACTGAATGTAAGTACATTATTTACCTTCAGAGGTGAATGTATCAAACCAGTTGCTGTGATACGTTTTTGTTGTTGTTGTGCACTCTCCTCAAACAATAGCATGGTATGTTTTCACTGTAATAGCTATTATAAATTGGACAGTGCAGTTAGATTAACAAGAACTTAAGCTTTCTGCCCATATAAGACGTCTATGTCCTGGAAAGTGTGCTGTTATTTACAACAGTCATGCTAATCACATTAGCGCACGTTAGCTCAACCGTCCCGTATACGGGACACCGATCCCGTGGAGGTTAACACTTATTTTTCTTAAACCTGCATTGTTGGTTAAGGGCTTGTAAGTAAGCATTTCACTGTAAGGTGTAGGGCGCATGTGGCAAATAACATTTGATTTGATTTGAAATCAACTGTGAAAAGGTTACACTTCACAACCGATATACTTCCTGGAAACCCTCCCTTCTCCATGGTTACTGTGGTAGAGGGACTACACAGGAGGAGGAGTGTGCTGGTCATGCAATAGTCTGGTGCATGAGTGTGGGTGGTTGAGAATGGTGTGTGTGTGTGACTCAGAGGCCATCACATGACCTTTCTCTTCTGCTCAGTGCAGCAGACCACACACTTGCAACACACATGCCACCAACAGCTGTGTGTGTGTGTGTGTGTGTGTGTGTGTGTGTTTGTGTTTGGCAGCAGTATGGGGTAACATTCATCAGCTGACAAAGGTCCTTCTTGGTTCTCTCTCCCCTTTCACAGACTTCCTGAACTGACTGAACAAGTAGAAGGTGCCTCCTAGTTGCCTTTAAGCACTGGTTTCAGATCAGGGAGTTCATAAAGATTCTCAGAGTAGGACTGCTGATCTAGGATCAGGTCCATGTGAACTTATTCCTTACCATCGACTTGACTCATAATGGTTCATTGGGTTAGTAAAAGCTGGTCCTAGATCTGCACTATATCTGTGTTTTATGAACCTATCTCTATTGTTATATGGCATTTTACAACAGCAACATAATGACCTATATCGCAAATCAGTTGGAGTCCAGGAGTTCATTTCATTGATAACATGCCTAGGAACTCAGGAAGGGAGGAACCCAATTCTAGATGAAGATCCTATATTGACTACTGTTTGGTAACACTCAGTTATATAACCTACAGATGGTAACAATCAGTTATATACCTATAGATGGTAACACTCAGTCAATATAGATGAACCTGTACCTTCAATACCACCTAATCCCTGTTATCAGTCAATATAGATGGACCTGTACCTTCATTACCACCTAATCCCTGTTATCAGTCAATATAGATGGACCTGTACCTTCATTACCACCTAATCCCTGTTATCAGTCAATATAGATGGACCTGTACCTTCATTACCACCTAATCCCTGTTATCAGTCAATATAGATGAACCTGTACCTTCAATACCACCTAATCCCTGTTATCAGTCAATATAGATGGACCTGTACCTTCATTACCACCTAATCCCTGTTATCAGTCAATATAGATGAACCTGTACCTTCAATATTTACATTTACATTTAAGTCATTTAGAAGACGCTCTTATCCAGATATCTGTGGCAAGAGTAAGGATATTGCATTCATCTACCTCAGTATATTTTTTTAATGTCACATAACATTTATAATGCCTCACTACGATCAATACAATCACACCTCTTTGTGTGGCTCAGTTATTGTTTTTAAAAGCACAACCACAGCAGGTGTTGTGGAACATGAGTTTCCAGTAAGCGTACAGACACGTACACAGTAAGCATATCATTTGATGATCGACACACAGACACAGTCCTGGATGTTATTCGCCGACTCTAGAAAAATGTTAATTTCCAAGAATTCGTTTTTTCCTGTTTGTCATGCTCTGTTGAGAAGGAGATGACATTCCTGTCTAAATGTCTGCTGTCGGAGGTGGTGTTCTACTGTATTCTGAGCCTCAGGGTTGGGAAGAGGAGAGACCAGCAGCTCAGGGCCCTGTTCTAATCCTTTATGCATCCTTCCTCCTTTCCTTCCTGTCTCCTTGGCGATAGGGACATGGAGCCTCAGGGTTGGGAAGAGGAGGGACCAGCAGCTCAGGGCCCTGTTCTAATACTTTATGCATCCTTCCTCCTTTCCTTCCTGTCTCCTTGGCGAAAGGGACATGGAGCCTCAGGGTTGGGAAGAGGAGGGATTGGTAGAAGCTCAGGGCCCTGTTCTAATCCTTTATGCATCCTTCCTCCTTTCCTTCCTGTCTCCTTGGCGATAGGGACATGGAGCCTCAGGGTTGGGAAGAGGAGGGACCAGCAGCTCAGGGCCCTGTTCTAATACTTTATGCATCCTTCCTTCTTTCCTTCCTATATCCTTGGCGATAGGGACATGGAGCCTCAGGGTTGGGAAGAGGAGGGACCAGCAGCTCAGGGCCCTGTTCTAATACTTAATGCATCCTTCCTCCTTTCCTTCCTGTCTCCTTGGCGAAAGGGACATGGAGCCTCAGGGTTGGGAAGAGGAGGGATTTGTAGAAGCTCAGGGCCCTGTTCTAATACTTTATGCATCCTTCCTCCTTTCCTTCCTGTCTCCTTGGCGATAGGGACATGGAGCCTCAGGGTTGGGAAGAGGAGGGATTGGTAGCAGCAGAAGTAGCAGCAGCTCAGTAGCCTGGTCCCAGATCTGTTTGTGTGCTGTCTTGCCAACTCCTATGGTCATTGTCATGTAGGATTTGACAAGACAGTAAAGCAGATCTGGGACCAGCGGGTAATCATGGCCTGCTCTGTTCTAATACATCCATCGTTTCTCCCTCCCTGGTGATAATCACTGACCTGTGACTGGATAAGTGGAAGATATGTTAGGATTGCTTTGACTCTCACCAATCCATCCTTGTGAGATCAATGGGGACTGGGGAGAAAGGGAGGAGAGGAGAGGGGGATGAGGAGGAGAGGAGGAGAAGGGAGGAGAGGGGGGGAGGAGGAGGAGGAGGAGGAGGAGGGGAGGAGGAGGAGAGAAAGGAGGAGAGGGGGGGGGGAGGAGGAGGAGAGAGGAGGGAAGGGGAGGGGAAGGGAGGAGGGGGGGGAGAAGAGGAGGAGGAGAGGGGGGAAGGGGAGAGAGAAGGAGGAGAGGGAGGGGAGGAGGAGGGAGGAGGGAAGGGAGGAGGAAGAAGGGAGGAGAGGGGGTGAGGAGGGGAGGAGGAGGAGGGGAAGGGAGGAGAGAAGGAGGAGAGGGGGAGGAGGAGGAGGGGAGGGAGGGATGGGAGGGAGGAGAGGGAGGAGAGGAGGAGGAGAGGGGGGAAGGGAAGGGAGGAGAAGAGAAGGGAGGAGACGGGGGAGGAGGAAGGGAGGAGGAGGGGAGGTGAGGAGAAGGGAGAGAGGGGGAGGAGGAGGAGGGGAAGGGAGGAGAAGAGGGGGAGAAGAGGGAGGAGAGGGGGGAGGAGGAGGAGGAGGAGGAGGGAGGAGGGAAGGGAGGAGAAGAAGGGAGGAGGAGGGGAAGGGAGGAGAAGGGAGGAGAGGGGGGAGGAGGAGGAGGGGGAGGAGGAGAAGGGGAAGGGAGGAGAAGAAGGGAGGAGAGGGGGGAGGAGGAGGAGGAGGAGGGGGAGGAGGGGAAGGGAGGAGAAGAAGGGAGAAGGGGAAGGGAGGAGAAGAAGGGAGGAGAGGGGGGAGGAGGAGGAGGAGGAGGGGGAGGAGGGGAAGGGAGGAGAAGAAGGGAGGAGGGGAGGGAGGGGGAGGAGGAGAGCAGGGAAGGGGGGGGGGGGGGTAAAGGATGAATGTTTTGAAGGAATTGAAAGAGGGCTGGTCATTGTAATATCCCTGGGAAGAATAGAATAGTTTAGAATATAATGATTTATATAATATGCCTGATAAGTGGCAGCAACCAAAACAGACAATAATCACCCTGGGATTATTGAAATACCGTAGCATGACGGTAGCATGACAACGGTGGCATATAAAAACTACAAATTCCACAAATCTATAGGCTACAGAAAGGGATGTTTGATGTCATGGGTTCATATGTAGAGCACGGCGCTTGTAACGCCAAGGTAGTGGGTTCGATCCCCGGGACCACCCATACACAAAAATGTATGCACGCATGACTGTAAGTCGCTTTGGATAAAAGCGTCTGCTAAATGGCATATTATTATTATTATTATATGTCGAGCCTTGCGTGCACTGATCCTTGGCCCACAGATGCGTAAGACACAAGAAAAGCGCTCCATTTATTAAAAACATTTTTTTTGCTTGTATATGACTGTGACAGTCCCATTACGTCTGAAAAGTCACAGCCTGTGACGAACTTAGGGTGAATTCGGAAGGAGTGGGACATCATATAAACTGGGACAGCTTAATCCTGACCCGTTTACTTCTTGGTATGACGAGAGAAAATCTTAAATATTGTTACTAACCCCTTGCAGAGAAACCACATGATCAAAATCACTTCATTGGTGTGACATCATAGAGGGGGGAAGCTCACCGCACTAAGCATATGGTAAGATCAGTGACATAAGATCAACTTTTTTGTTGTGTTTTGATGTTAAGGTTATACAACTGTCATAAATAATGCACAGTGCCAAATTATGATGTAAATGGGCATACTATGTACTGGTGCATCAAAATACATACAAATGTTGCCAATGTTTAAGTTTGGTAATTCAGTCATTTTTTGTTGTCCCGTTTTACCAACCATAGCTAGCTAAAGTAGGACAACATGGAGTAGCTAAAGTAGGACAACATGGAGTAGCTAAAGTAGGACAACATGGAGTAGCTAAAGTAGGACAACATGGAGTAACTAAAGTAGGACAACATGGAGTAGCTAAAGAGGGACAACATGGAGTAGCTAAAGTGGGACAACATGGAGTAGCTAAAGTAGGACAACATGGAGTAGCTAAAGTAGGACAACATGGAGTAGCTAAAGTAGGACAACATGGAGTAGATAAAGTGGGACAGCATGGAGTAGCTAAAGTGGGACAGTCTTATAGGCTTTTCCAATGGAGGAAAGAGATCCAGTTTACATTAAGGACCCCCTGCTCTGGTTCTTGTAGTACTATATCCTGTTCATTTTTTCTTGTAGTACTTTTATTAATACTGTTATTAGTACTGAATATTAGTACTGATATTAGTACTGTTATTAGTACTGTTATTAGTACAGATATTAGTACTGTTATTAGTACTGTTATTAGTACTAATATTAGTACTGTTATTAGTACTAATATTAGTACTGTTATTAGTACCGATATTTGAGTGAATTTGAAAAAGTTGGACACTTTTTCCATTTCCGTCCTCTGTAACCTCATCAGACATCTATTCAACATATTAGCTCAACGCATGATACATTTCTGAAATCCTCAGATGTTTCTTAATCACACAAAATGGAATTGTCATTGGGGTACAATTAGGACTAGAATAATGGTGTCCCAGTTTATCTAACCTACTGTCCCAGTCTACCAAATACAAACTAAAAATATGGTTTTGACTCAGTGTACTTTTATTTATGTATTTATTAGGGGCACAGTGCAGATAAATCAACATCAATATTACAGTAATGCAACATCCATGTAAATGTGCCGGGGTTAGCCAAAAGCCAATTTGCACCCATAGTCCCTGGGCAGGTAAGGGCAATTACACAGCCACTATACAAATCCTCCCCAATTAAGGTGCCACCAACCTCCTGTGATGTAGGCCCACAATGGCGCCCTGCCTGGTGTGGTGTTATTTGTTCTGTATTTATTCTGTATTATGACCCAAAATGGCAGCCCTATGGGCCCTGGTCAAAAGTAGTGCACTATATAGGGAAAAGGCTGCCATTTGGGATCCAGCCTAGTCTCTGATGTATACTAAACAAAAATATAAATGCAACATGCAACAATTTCAAAGATTTTACTGAATTGCAGTTCATATAAGGAAATTAGTAAATTGAAATAAATGATTTAGGCCCTAATCTATGGATTTCACATGACTGGGCAGGGGCGCAGCCATGGATGGGCCTGGGAGGGCATAGGCCCACCCACTTGGCAGCCAGGCCCCCCCCACTGGGGAGCCAGGCCCAGCCAATCAGAATACGTTTTTCCACACAAAAGGGCTGTATTACAGACAGAAATGCTCCTCAAAATGTCAGGGATTTTTTATTTCAGTTCATGAAACATGGGACCAACACTTTACATTTTGCGTTTATATTTTTGATCAGTGTACACGTCCTTCCAAGCTGCAGGAGAGAGAGGCCCGCCTAATCCATTTATACACAGTAAGGGGAAATTAGATGTTCTGGGAATCCGACGGGCACTTTGACAGTGACAATGGCCACTTGACTGCGCTGTTTGGGCATCTGTTAATATGGGCACTTTGTTTTTGTTTGGACTTAAATCTTTTTCAGATAATATGGTTTTATTTGAGCACTATGGTAGTTAGACTTATGCAGAGGTTATCATATGAAATAAAACCAATATATGCATTCTGTGTTTTGATAAAGATCCGTCTGTATTTTGCCCTTCTCCACAGTACCGTACCAGTTGAGCAAGCTATCATTTATGCATGAACGAAACCTGGTCTGCCATTCTCATTTAGGCATAACAAAATCCACCACAAACCCTCCAAAATATTTCAGATAAATCCATATAGAATCCCTGGAACATGATGTTCAAAATCTTTTATTTTGATTAGTCACCAAAAACCAAGTGTTTGTCAAGTCAACCTTTGACTTGTACGGGGATGACGTTTATAAAGAGGGGGGGGGGGTTGGCGTGCCCTCTTTGGAGAATTCTCTGCCTCCTCTCTAACGAGGACAGTCTGTAGTTGCGTCTCTCTTCAGTTGTCCTGCAAGCCTCCTGTACAACCAGACGCACTGCGCACTAGCTCCTGGTTTTGAGCAGAAATGTTTTTCTGTAGATCGGCTTGGCAGAAACTGGGGCTCCTGGCACGAATGACAGTTGCCCTACCCTTATCCAGAAATGGTGAGTGGATAAGAAGTGGTCCGAGTTGATGGGGTGTATATTGTATTTGTTTGGGGCATTTTTATATGAATCGTTTGTTGCATCCTAGCTGACGCGTCACGGTGTGCGTTGATGTATGGATTTACGCCAAGGTCAATGCAATTAGTTGGTTTTAACGACAGTCTATGTAAACAGTTGAGCTTGATAAAATGTATACGTTTGGATTGTTTGTCCAACATTCTTGTGTGATTTTTGTATTCAATATATATTTTAAATTAATGCAGTTTCCTTCAAATTGCGCGACGTTGTTGTACTTTATTCATTCCAGGATGATACAATGCATCATTCTTTACTAGTTTATTGAAAAACATTGCAAGAAAAGTTACATTTTAATAATTTTAAATCTTACATTATTGCTGAGCGCTAGTTGAGGCAGTACGCCCCTTTTCCATGGGGAGGTGTGTCCATGTCCACAAAGATTAGAACATGCAGTTCTGCACAATTTAGTTACGAAACAGCGCATCCCGGTCCAAAAAAACGACCCGATCGGTATTATGTAACATCCAAGCATCAAGTGCATGTATTTGATAGCAGATATATCCCCGAAATCGTTGTTTTTTGATGGAGATGTCGTCGCCTATATGATGTCCCATGGAGATTCTTCACGTGTCGTGGTAGCGGCTGTATAGGATAATGGTTGTGGATATAGATCATTGGATTAGCCTATAGCAGCCCATATAGAAAAAAGACGAAGCACGTTCTACTTGACTTTGACCTGTCGAGTTCTGTAGCAAGAGGCGTCAAAACTATAATCCAAATTGATCGTGATATATTAATTTCCCCCAGACTCATCAAAGCGTTTTGTCAGGGAGAGAAAAAATGTGATTGTTTTGTTAATAGCTTTGTGTGGGTTTGAATGACAGCAAGGGGTAGAAGGGATTAGGGTTGTGTTTTTACTGTAGCTACTTTCCCATGCACGCGCTTCATGGATAGACTAGTTCTAGTCTGGCTTCATTCTAGAACTACAGCTCCTATTTGCTTTGTTGCATAAGGAATTTGCCCCGAGGGAGATCTGAACAGTGCTGGTTTAATTTCCTGTTTTAGAGATGTTAGAAACTCAAAATACAGCCAGAAACCTCTATCCTCTCCATGTTTTGACACTAGGATGTATAGATATTCCCCTGACCTATAGCTACAAGCACAGACATGCATTGTGACAATAGCCCTATCCTCTATGTGCATTTCTGCACACCCTGCTCTGGATTATATTTGGCTGACTAATGACGTATTGATCACTAGTCAGTCATGACTAGGGCAGACAGGCTTCATGGTTAGGCTTTGGGCCTACATAAGGGGGCGTGTGGTTCTTCATGTATGTGTAGGCCTGTGTGTGTGTGTGTGCCACTGGTGTGAATGGCCTCTATTCAGTTGGAAGGAACCGGTCCAATGTCCTTTGCTTGTTGCAGACCTACGTAACTAACAGAGCCTATAGGAGACCTAGAGACAGACATGTTTTCTCTGGACGTTGTGTGTTCTTATTTGGGCAAAGCTTATACATTAAATGTAAATAGTTGTATTTTTTTCAATGCTGGCAGGGTCCCCCCCCCCCCCCCCCCCAGCACTACGCAGCTGATTTAAATATCCAACTCCTCGTCAAGGTTTGATTATTTGAATCCACTGTGTAGTGCTAGGGCGAAAACCAAAACGTGCACCCAGAGGGGGCACAAGGACCTAGTTGAGGGAAACCCGCTATAGGGGACGGACAGACGAGCCATGTTCTCCAATGTGGACATTTTTTGTTTTTGTGTTCTTGTTTGGTCAAAGTTTAGGGATAAAATGTAGCCTACGTGGTTGTCATGGTTGCTTTTCTCTAGCAAAATGAAAAACAATTGATCACAAAGACAGCCAGGCCTAGCTAGCAGAGACAGCCAGGCCTAGCTAGCAGAGACAGCCAGGCCTAGCTAGCAGAGACAGCCAGGCCTAGCTAGCAGAGACAGCCAGGCCTAGCTAGCAGAGACAGCCAGGCCTAGCTAGCAGAGACAGCCAGGCCTAGCTAGCAGAGACAGCCAGGCCTAGCTAGCAGAGACAGCCAGGCCTAGCTAGCAGAGACAGCCAGGCCTAGCTAGCAGAGGACAGCCCAGGCCTAGCTAGCAGAGACAGCCAGGCCTAGCTAGCAGAGACAGCCAGGCCTAGCTAGCAGAGACAGCCAGGCTAGCTAGCAGGACAGCCAGGCTAGCTAGACTAGAGCAGGCCAGGCCTAGCTAGCAGAGACAGCCAGGCCTAGCTAGCAGGGCCTCTACCTTTCACCCATTTCCTGCTTCTGTCCCCCCGATGATTAGTATACATAGATAATGCGCATGTTATTACATCACAGGGCAGGTAGCCTAACAGTTAGAGCGTTGGGCCATTAACCGAAGGGTAGGTAGTTCGAATCCCCAAGCTGATAAAAGGAAAAATCTGTGCACTTAACCCTAATTGCTCCAGGGTCACGTTGATGATGGCAGGGAGGAGGTTCCGGTATATGCAAAAAAAACACATTTCCCTTTTTTATATCCATACTGGCCCCCCGTGGGAATCGAACCCACAACCCTGGCGTTGCAAACGCCATGCTCTACCAACTGAGCTACCTCCCTGCCGGCCATTCCCTTCCCCCCCAGTTCACATGTTCATATTAATACACACTTGTACATGTGTGAAATACAACAAATATAAGCATCCACAAATTTTTAGTTCCGTAAGATGGGTGGGGGTTCAATGCTACCATGCTATGACTGGCTGTCGGAGAGGAAACTGGGATCACCTGCGTGTCTGTGACACTTCTGACCTCTAGCTCAGCTTAACTGATTAGTACCTAGCTACCTGTATAAATAACTGGACCTGGCCTTCACAGGAACAAACAGGAGGCCACTTGCTGTGTCATGGTATTAGAGAGAGCAGCAGGGTAGCTCTGGGTCAACCAGGATCAACGTCTGGTCCCAACTGATGGCTGTGTTTTTGAGGAACGTTTTACTGCCAATGACTGTTGTGGTTTGTCTTATCCTACCTTAGTTGAATGTATTGACTGTACGTCTCTCTGGACCAGAGTCTTCTAAATGGCCTCCATGTAAAATGTGGTGTTTGTATTGTGTCAGGATGTGTGTGTGTGTGAGAATTTAATCCCAAAACTATTGTTCTGAATTCTATTTTTCCAAGTGAAGGAAGTGCTGGGATGTTTTGTTATGTAGGTTGCTTCAGTAATCTATGGAGCTGATTGTGTATATCTATCTCTCACTCACACAGAGTATAAACTGGGGGGTTGAGGAGACTACATGTGTGTTCTCCTGCAGAGCTGCAGGATAAAATGTGATACTCTTTACATGGAGGGAACGGGGGAGGGAGGTGAGAGGGAGGTGAGATGTGGAGGGAGGAGCGCTCTCTGCTGTACATAGTGTTCCCTTACTGCAGCCTGGGCTGCTCTGGTGTGCATGTTGGAGACATGCATACACACACACACACATACATACACACACACACACACACACACACACACACACACACACAACCAGAGACTGAGGTGCGGAAACACACACACTTCACACACCACAGAGGCACCACTTGTAGAAAGTGTCTCTTGTTTTGCCCTGTAGGCGCCCCTCTGCCAGACCTTTGCATTCTGGGTGACATGTGAACTTGAAGCTTACACATGATCTTGAACTTTGAAACTAGTCCCCTATGCACAACCACTACAGTTGTATTCCTGGTGTTTTCTACTCAGGGCTGAATGTATTCAGTAGTCTATAGCGGTCCTTCACTAGTCTCTAATGGACAAACATAGGCAGAACTAGACAGCCAAACACAACCAAGTTTTCCTGTGTGGTTGACTGGTTTTATGTTGTGTGATTGACTGGTTGTGTGTGTGTGTGTGTGTGTGATTTAGGGAGTGTTTGGGGCGATGGCGTAGCAGAGGAGAGGATCTTTGGTCCAGGAAGGAGGAGGATTTATTTATGTCCCGTGTTCTAAATGCACCACCATAGCCTGAGAGCCAATCCGATCAACACGGCAATCTATTTACTGAAGACTAGGCTACTCTAGTCTGCCCAGCCCTATTGGCCACATGGACCATGCTACCAACAACAACAACAACTTGTTTATGGTTTCATCTCAAATCTCTATTGCTGCGTTTGGTTCTTTCTTTAGGGTAGTTAAAATGATGGCTGTGTGAAGATGATTCAGTGTCCTACAGTCTGACAGTGATTTTACATCAGCACTATGCAATTGGCAAAGATTCAAGTGATGTTAACCCAAATGAAATGTGTTTAGATGGGAGGGGTTTAGAAAGCAGGGAGTGTTTATTAGGAGGGGGTTGTCCAAGCAAACACAGCATCAGACCTAAAACAAGGACCAGAATAGACCTGGGTTCAAACACTATTAGAAATCTTTCAAATAACTTTTTGAGCTTTTGCTCTAGGCTGTTAGGAGTGCCAGATTGGTAGAGTTTGGTCCATCGGTTGGCCCATTAAGCCAGGCAAGCTCAATCAACTACATAAACCACTTGGAATTATTTGAACCAAGGTCTGGACTGGGATAGGTTGGCTAGGCGTGTTTAGCTTGGTAAGTCTCCCGAGTGGCGCAGTGGTCTAGCCACTAGAGATCCTGGTTCGAATCCAGGCTCTTCGTAGCCGGCCGCGACCGGGAGACCCATGGGGCGGCGCACAATTGGCCCAGCGTCGTCCAGGGTAGGGGAGGGAATGGCCGGCAGGGATGTAGCTCAGTTGGTAGAGCATGGCATTTGCAACGCCAGGGTTGTGGGTTCGATTCCCAAGGGGGGCAAGTATGAAAAATAAACTGTAAGTCGCTCTGGATAAGAGCGTCGGCTAAATGACTAAAATGTAGGATGGACTGGGATAGGTTGGCTAGTCGTGTTTAGCTTGGTAGGACGGACTGGGATAGGTTGGCTAGGCGTGTTTAGCTTGATAGGACGGACTGGGATAGGTTGGCTAGTCGTGTTTAGCTTGGTAGGACGGACTGGGATAGGTTGGCTAGGCGTGTTTAGCTTGGTAGGATGGACTGGGATAGGTTGGCTAGGCGTGTTTTGGCTTGGTAGGACGGACTGGGATAGGTTGGCTAGGCGTGTTTAGCTTGGTAGGGCGGACTGGGATAGGTTGGCTAGGCGTGTTTAGCTTGGTAGGGCGGACTGGGATAGGTTGGCTAGTCGTGTTTTAGCTTGGTAGGACGGACTGGGATAGGTTGGCTAGTCGTGTTTTAGCTTGGTAGGACGGACTGGGATAGGTTGGCTAGTCGTGTTTTAGCTTGGTAGGGCGGACTGGGATAGGTTGGCTAGTCGTGTTTTAGCTTGGTAGGGCGGACTGGGATAGGTTGGCTAGGCGTGTTTAGCTTGGTAGGGCGGACTGGGATAGGTTGGCTAGGCGTGTTTTAGCTTGGTAGGACGGACTGGGATAGGTTGGCTAGGCGTGTTTAGCTTGGTAGGGCGGACTGGGATAGGTTGGCTAGTCGTGTTTTAGCTTGGTAGGGCGGACTGGGATAGGTTGGCTAGGCGTGTTTAGCTTGGTAGGACCGACTGGGATAGGTTGGCTAGTCGTGTTTAGCTTGGTAGGGCGGACTGGGATAGGTTGGCTAGGCGTGTTTAGCTTGGTAGGGCGGACTGGGATAGGTTGGCTAGTCGTGTTTTAGCTTGGTAGGGCGGACTGGGATAGGTTGGCTAGTCGTGTTTTAGCTTGGTAGGGCGGACTGGGATAGGTTGGCTAGGCGTGTTTAGCTTGGTAGGATGGACTGGGATAGGTTGGCTAGGCGTGTTTAGCTTGGTAGGATGGACTGGGATAGGTTGGCTAGGCGTGTTTAGCTTGGCTTACGCAAACACTTTCCACTGCCTCTGCTCTGCTGTGTCAAATGAATGGCGCCGCCTTGTCTGTGTTGTGTAATGGGATTAAGAGGGATAGAGGCTTGTTGCCGTGGTATCAGAACACCGCTGATGACCTGAGTGGTAAGAAGATGCCTGGACAGGACCGGATGAAGGCCTTTATTACAGGCCCTGTAGGACCATGTTGGAGGATAACATTAGATATGCATAGATTGACAATGCAAGGAATTTGTCAATGGGGCCTATACAGAAATCATAGAGGGTCCGTTGACCTGGCATGGTCATCTGTCCAATGCAAAGCTGGCATCTTTCTTACTGCCTGAGTATATGAACAAAAAGTGTAGAACTTGCTTTCTATTCATATATTTACATGCTTTATATTTTATGTCTCTTGATGTAGCTTTATGTATTGGGGTGCCTTCCCAGGGCTACTAGCTAACTATTTAGGATAGGCTACATGCCCATTTTTATTGACACCTGATTGGTCACAGCCACAGGAACAGTTTTCCATAAAAATAAATGGTCAAGGTTCCTTACACAGACAGGAACCGTGACCATTTTTTTCAAACGGTAAACAGCTTTAATGAGATCTTCATTATCCACCGTCTTTGGTAGCTCTCTCTTCTGGTCCATCCCCTAACCATGTCCCCCTCTCCACCGTGTCTCCTTACAGTGGTTCCAGTGCGGCAGATGTCCTTCGGGATCCCCGGTGGCTCTTCCACCAACATGGCGTACTTTGTTCTGTGTGGAGGAGGCCTCACTGCCGCTGTAGTCTACGTAAGTACTGATCCGAGATCAGTTGTGTGTGTGTATACCTAATGTTAACGGAGAAGGTCTGGGCAGTATATGATGATCCTAGACCAGATTTGTGCCTGAAGGGCACTTTCTACTCAAAACTATATTCTACTATGCGAGTATCACCCTAGACACTGATTTGAAATCAGTTTTTGTATCCACCCATAATGGTAAAGGTGACTTTCTGGAGAGCTCACACTGATCTGAAGTCTGTGCCTAAAGGTTAACTTGAACTAGGCATGCTATAGTTGACTTTAATTTCAAACATATTGAAATTAAGTATAGATTTTTCCTGACTCCTCCCACATCAGTTTTCCACACTTTAATCCAATGCATAAACATTAGGACACATGGCCCCAGGCCAGTGTTTTGGTTAGAGAACTTCCACCCATTACAATGTGCGGAGTGGCTGCAGATCCCAACTTTTCTCTGACCGTTTTTCCTCCGGACTAAAGATGGATGACGTTCTGCTCATGTGTTTATTCTGTACTTCTCTACCCGTAGAGAACCGGCTACTCTGGTGAATGGTGGTCATTTAATAAAGTTAGATCAAAGCCGAATCCATGTCTGCAAGATCACATAATGATAGTGTTCTACATAACAGAACCCAATATAATAGCGTAGTATTACGTTACTGTAAGACAAAAACCCCACCGCATTTTTCTCTTATGTGGCCGAAACGCAGCAGTGTGCGCCACTAGGGAAAATACACAGCTAGGTTATGTTTCAGTTTAACACCATCTGCTCTACAATTCGCTCACTGTACATGAGTGAGAAAGTTAATGCACAAATATCATACCCCCCCCAAAAAAAATGCTAACCTCCCTGTAATTGTAATGGTGTGAGGTTAGCATGTCTTGGTATGATATTTGTGTGTCTAACTTTCTCACTCATCATTATTCAAGATTCATTCAGGATTATCTGTAATCATGGTAGCATCCACATTACTATAGAAGGCTTCAGAAACATTTTATTGTTATTTACAATAAAAGTGACTCTAAAATGACACTACATTATTTACCATTCATTTCTATTGGGCACAAAATAATCTGAAACACAACCAAAACAAACAGCAAATGCATCCAACAAGTTTTTAGAGTCGCAAGCTTGATGTGGTCATTGCGTGCTAAGAATATGGGACCAAATACTAATCTTTTGACTACTTTAATACACATATACAGTGAGGGGGAAAAAAGTATTTGATCCCCTGCTGATTTTGTACGTTTGCCCATTGACAAAGAAATGATCAGTCTATAATTTTAATGGTAGGTTTTATTTGAACAGACAGAATAACAACAACAAAAATCCAGAAAAACGCATGTCAAAAATGTTGTAAATTGATTAGCATTTTAATGAGGGAAATAAGTATTTGACCCCTCTGCAAAACATTACTTAGTACTTGGTGGCAAAACCCTTTTTGGCAATCAGAGGTCAGACGTTTCTTGTAGTTGGCCACCAGGTTTGCACACATCTCAGGAGGGATTTTGTCCCACTCCTCTTTGCAGATCTTCTCCAAGTCATTAAGGTTTCGAGGCTGACATTTGGCAACTCAAACCTTCAGCTCCCTACACAGATTTTCTATGGGATTAAGGTCTGGAGACTGGCTAGGCCACTCCAGGACCTTAATGTGCTTCTTCTTGAGCCACTCCTTTGTTGCCTTGGCCGTGTGTTTTGGGTCATTGTCATGCTTGAATACCCATCCACGACCCATTTTCAATGCCCTGGCTGAGGGAAGGAGGTTCTCACCCAAGATTTGACGGTATATGGCCCTGTCCATCGTCCCTTTGATGCAGTGAAGTTGTCCTGTCCCCTTAGCAGAAAAACACCCCCAAAGCATAATGTTTCCACTTCCATGTTTGACGGTGGGGATGGTGTTCTTAGGGTCATAGGCAGCATTCCTCCTCCTCCAAACACGGCGAGTTGAGTTGATGCCAAAGAGCTCGATTTTGGTCTCATCTGACCACAACACTTTCACCCAGTTCTCCTCTGAATCATTCAGATGTTCATTGGCAAACTTCAGACGGGCATGTATATGTGCTTTCTTGAGCAGGGGGACCTTGCGGGCGCTGCAGGATTTCAGTCCTTCACGGCATAGTGTGTTACCAATTTGTTTTCTTGGTGACTATGGTCCCAGCTGCCTTGAGATCATTGACAAGATCCTCCCGTAAGTTCTGGCTGTCCTCACCGTTTTGTCAATTCATTTCAGCTCACTGGAGGAGATCGCCTCCACGCAGGGAGGATTGACAGTCTTTAGGTTTTACCATTCTCGAAAACGTTGGATGGACTTTACAAGCTGCTTATGTCTGTAGCCATTCACTTTAGAGGTCTCATATCTTGCCTGAAAGCGGAGAGTATTAGGTTTGCATTGGGCAAGTTGGAACAAAGGATGATGTTCGGACAGATGTCTTATAGAACAACTGGATTAGGAGACTTCTTTAAATTGGCTTAATCTCACTCCTACCTGTCTAAAGCACTGGAGGCAATCTTTGATTAAGGTTGCAATCTATTCCATTTTAAATAAATTAATCATTTTTAGATTCTTGGATTCTAGTGGTATTCGTCCTCACTGTTCAAAACCTCATTAATAGACGATCATTCTTTTTCGCAACGTTCAAAATCAGCAGGAGACAAAACTTTTGTCACGACTTTTTTGTCAGTTTAGTATCACTGGAGAGCCCTTCCCACAGCAGTGGTGCATTGTGCTTTTTAAAGACCGTTATAACAGTTCTACAGACAACCGTTGGCATGGACGTTTATAGCTTTAGCTTAGTCTACGCCTTTATTTAACACGACACTGTTACTTGCTAGTGCTGAGGGAAGAGAGGATTCAGGTTCTCATCTTGCACCAAAACAAAATGGAGTCAGAGTTCACGGCAGCCATTTTGAAATGCAGCTAGATTCCCTTTCTGTGTTCTTTTTAATTTGGCGTGTCCCTCCAACCTCCGTCTGTCTGTTCCATTCAGGCTTACAAGACAGTGAATGGTGACAGTGAGCGGTACAATGACCGACTCGCTGAGATGAACTTGAGGCCAAAGGGTGAGTACTGAGTAGCTGACTGTCTGCACTGCCACACACACTTCATTGTCCCACCACACTCTTGATATTCTACCAATAGACATGAACCATAGAATCTAGAATCCTAGGGGAGTTCTAGAATTTGTACTTTCAGTATTCCGGAATTCCTCATCATAACGGACAAGAATGGCCAGAGTTCTAGTGTCAGTTGGAGAAAGAATGTCTCATCAGAGCGTTGAAACCACAACAAAACAATTTTTGTCCACACTAAGCCTAGCCAAATGTTTTCATTTGGCATGGACCCTGTTTTGGCGCTGCCACCGACACGCCAGCATGGTGGAATGATCACTCTGAATGAGATTAATCTAGACTGTCAGGGCTGATTTCTGTCAGCTATTAATTGACCTGTCGGGGTTCCCGGGCCCATTGCCCAGATCGCCTGATTGGTCTGTTGGGCTAAGCTACTTTTCATTGGTTCACTTGGTATCGATGGGAGCTCTGATTGGTTCATGCAGGGTCTAGTTTGCTGTTCCTACCTACATTCACCCATCCTCAGTACACTAATGGCTATACAGTGTATAGACAAACCCTAAACCTATATATAGACAACGGATGTCATTTTAAAGACTTGATTTTCTCTTTGTGTTACAGGCGAGGCAGAGGGTGAGTGCTTTTTGGAAACCTTTTGGCGTGCCTGTGAAAAATGTAGCTTGCATGCGTTTGCAGATCCTGTCTCTCGGGCACTGTGGTGATGGGGAAAGGGCTGGTGTGCGTCTCAAATGGCACCCTATTCCCTATATAGTGCACTGCTTTTGACCAGAGCACTATGGGCCCGGGTCCAAATGGGTGCACTATATAGGGAATAGGGTGCCATTTGAGACGCAGCCCTAGTCATACCTGGCATGAAACATTTTCCAACTTCCTGTCAGAACAAAGTGTAACCAACTGCCAATTCATGTGTTTGTGGGAGCCGCCATTTTGTAGGCTTCGCTATTCGATCACACTAACTTGAAGTGAAATTCTACACCTGGCACTGGTAGCCATTTTGTCATTGCTAGCCAACGAACTTTCAATCACTAACTTCGAATTCTACACCTGGCCTACACGTATTCTACAAACTGTACCCCTGCACCTTTAAACATTTTTAAAACCCTCCTTTACCTGTTTTGAAAATTGCTACATAACCAGGGACACACTTTTTATAAGAAAATGGTCATGTTTACCGTTGAGCTTTGGCTCCTGAACAATTCAGACTAAGCCTTGGGTTCCTATCTACCTGTTGGTCTTTTCTTCGTCACGTTTGCATATCTTTTGGTGTATTCCATAAAGCTTGTCCTTTTTTCTGTCGCGACTGCATGTTATGTTTGGATGTTTGCTCGTTGCTTAGTCTGTCACAGCTACATCACCCAAAGTACCTGACCCCAAGTTCCTAGTCTTAATTATACAAGTTTGAAACAAGTTGAGGCTAGTGCTGGCGTTACTGGCTAATTAGTTGATTATCCTTGTTCATGTAATTCAGTTTACTTATACAACAGAATGTGACTGGACCTTTTTTAACCAGTTTAAATACCAGTATAGGTTACTGGCAAATCAGTTGAGATTATCCTTATTACCTGCTATAATGGTCAGTTTCTAAAACCAGCTGATTTCAGTTCAGCCTAGTTAACCTTGACCATTACCCCTGCTCCAGCTGATCCCTCTTGCGTCCCAAATGACACCCTATTCCCTATTTAGTGCACTACATTTGACCTGGGCCCATAAGGCTCTGGTCAAAAGTAGCGCACTATGTAGGGAAATGGGGTGCCACTTGGGATGCAGCCGCTGTGTCCGATACGGTTACTAGCCGTCAAACAAATCCTGGCTTCCTCCCTCTCTCCTTGTTTACTCAATTTCTTGCCTCCCCTGTTAACCATTTAACACCCTTTGACCAGAGATCCTGTATATAATGACAAGACGCTCATGTCTCCGCCCTAACGATGCGTGTCGTTGTCCCAAAGGCGGGAACGCAGGCTACAAGCTTAGGTCCAAAATAAGCCATAGAAACTCCATTGGGCTTATTTTGGACAGATTTCGGCGAGAGTGACTCTGACAATCCTTAAGTTTGACACCTGATCAGCTGCAGCTCACCTCTGTGGCATTGACAAGCCGTCAAATCCCATCCTAGATTCCACTATTCCTCGCCGCTCTCTCAAAGCGCATTGGAGGAAAGGATCCAAGGTCCCGCCCCTCTGACCTCCCTTCTCCAATGACCTTTGAGTAATCAAGGAATTGCGGAATAGGGATTTGACGTTTTGTCAAAGCCACAGGGTCCTCTGCAGGTGTCACGATGGGGTCAGAGCCCTATACGACAACATGTGGTTTGAGTTTGGTTAACTCTGAGTTCAACTCAGGATAACTGGTGACACGAATGTGGCTCACCTTTTTAGCCAGGTACATTTCTATGGCATTGAATCCTGCAGAACTAACCTGCTCTGGGCAGGCTGACTGTACTTATCCTGAATGAAGCGTTTGAGCTGTGAGTTGAGGACCAATTAGATTCCCTCCCTCTCGCAGAGTGAATCATCATCCCTTTATTCTCCGGACCGTATTTGAGTAAGACTGATTTAATATTTTATTAATCAACTGTTCTTGTGTTTAATTGTAATATTCAAATACATATCACAAAAACACATTTGGTAATGACGGGATGTATTTGAAACTTCACGTGCGGTAAACTTTCCTAATGCAATTATTTTATCATAGGATTTCGGGGAAAAGGGACTAAGCACACCGACGAAACGATATGCGTAAGAAAGACTGCACTTCTAATAGCCCATTTCACACTATAGTCTGCTAAAATTGCAGGGTTACTTTTCTTTCAATTTGATTTAGTCAAAAAATGAAAATGTGGCACGGTCTCGCCAATGGATTGATGTTTCCACATTGTGTCAATGACGAGTTTGGTGTTCGAGTAAGTGACGGGTGCACAATCAATATCTACCTTCGTAAAACATGGATAAAGCCGGAGCTGGAATGCGAAGCTAGCTAATTTCAGAAAAACCTGAGTACGTCTAGCTACTTTCGTAGTACACCCCTCGGGGTTGCCAGAGGGGTCAGCATCACACATTAAAGGGGCTTAGCAGAGGACTAACTGAAAGCAGTTTTTAAAAAACGTAATCTAGGATTTATCGCCATATTGGATCCACCTATCCTTTACTTTCTGGTCGGGGATATTTTAGACCCAGGGACCAAGACCGCGTGGTACAATTCAGAATCTGTCTCTTTAGGGGATTGATGTTGGAATTGGAGGACACTTTCATCTCATCCCTCCCTTTTCTCTCCATCTATTCCTCTTCTCTCTCTCGCTCCATCTCCCTCCACCAGCAGCACCAGCAGCAGAGGAAGCAGCACCAGCAGCAGAGGAAGCAGCACCAGCAGTAGAATCCCCAGAAGAACCGGCACCAGTAGAAGCAGAGGTGGTAGCCGAGGTGGTCGCTGAGACGGCTGCTGTCGAGGAGGCGCCTGCAGCAGTAGAGGAAGTCGTGGCAGAGGTCTCAGCCGAACCCGACGTCGTAGAGGCGGATGCAGAGGTTGCCGCAGAACCCGCGGTCGCCGCAGTCGAGGAGGCGCCCACAGCGGAAGTCGTTGCAGATGTCGCCGTGGTTACAGAAGAAGCCGCCCCGGAGGCTGCCGCAGAGGCTGTCATCGAGGACGTCGCTGAGGCGGCTCCCGTCGTCGTGGAAGAGGTCGTTGCCTTGGAGGATGTCGCCGAGGCACCCGCAGTGGAGGCTGCCGGTGAGGATGTTGTGGCTGAGACGGCTCCCGCCGCCCCTGAGGCAGAAGCGGCCCCTGCCGCCGAGGTGGCGGCAGCATAAGGGGTCAGAGGTGAAAGGTCATGCTAGAGGGGTGGGGTTAGCTGTGGTGTGTCCCTCTTACTACTACCCCCCCCCAAAACCTACACCTGCTCCCCCAACCCCACACAGGCCCCATCTACACCCTATTCCCCATGTAGTGCACTACTTTCCCTGGTCAAAAGTAACGCCCTACATAGGGAATAGGGTGCCATTTTGGATCACAGCCCCCTTTCTACTAGGACATTTTACAATAAGAAGCAGGAGGTGGACTATGTTCTGTTAAAGAACACTTTAGGTATGTAATGATATCCTGGTGATGGGGATGGCTGTCTCTTCTCATTCTGACTCCTTTACACCAGCACTAAAACCACAGCTAAATACAGAGCTGTTTCAGTTTAAAATGATACCGGTCTATTTGTCAAGCAATATGGTTGTATTTATCAATGGGGACAGGAGTTTTTCCTGGTCGGATCATGGTTGGTTGGGTGGGTGGGTGGGGGGGATGGGGACTCCCGGCTCTGTTTTTCTGAGGAGTCCTTAGGTGTTTCTAAGGGATTAAAGGGGCTGGAAAGGGAGATATTGGAGTCATGATTGTACAAGTTGTCCTGACCCACAAACCTATGTGCGTCTGAAATGGCACCCTATTCCCTATATAGGGCCCATAGGCTCTGGTCAAAAGTAGTACACTATCACTATATAGGGACTAGGGTGCCATTTTGGACACACTTCTAATGTAAAGTTCTCCCAAGTGGCCCTTAGAATTCAGGACACAAAATGGCACCTTTTTTCCTTCACTTTTGTCCGAATGACTTTGTCCCTTAAGAGTCAAGCTTATTGAGGATTTCTAGATAATGGCACAGTCTGGTATCTTGGCTTTAAATCAAGTTTGCGCTTTATTTCGACGATGCGTTGAACGTGCTCCAAATTCAGATTGAAGGTAGTGTTATGAACCTCGAGACGACAAGCACTTCAAGCAGGTTAAATGGTTATTATGCAAATAATAAATGTACCAGTCAGAGAAGCATTTGAATTGCTTTTTGAACAGCATCTTATTGTGAAATGTGACCAAAACCCTGCAAGCTCCTTCCTGCTTTCTCCTCCTCTCTAAGTGCTGCCCTCACACCTCTCCCTAGGATAAGCTCTAGAAGGATTAGTCGGTGATGTCATAAAGCTGTGTTCCACTGCCCAAATGGAACTCCCAGTGATTGGAACTTTGGGGAACAATTGGATCAGTTGGTTGTCTCTGTGTCCTCACTGATCTCTTTATGACATCATCTCTGTCTGATCCTTCTTATCACATCCTAGACACTGTGCCAGGGAGAAGTCTGCCCCCACTAAGCACAGATCAGGGATCAGTTCCCCCTTGCCCCCAATGCTGAGCATATAGGGCTGCAACCAGAGGTTCTGGAAGGGGATTCTCAATCCTCAAAACCCGTAGCAAATATTATCAATATACTGTGCAACGTAGACGTTCTGTTTTCTACCGAGATTGCAAAACAATTCGTATGTTGATGTAGTGCCCATCGGTTATGAATGTTTCAACCTCTGACAAATCGTGTTTGTACCGTCCGTTTGTTTCAAAGAGCACCAAAACTAACCATGGAGCCTCGCGGTCTGTATCGTCCAATCACAGATCAGATACAAGTCACGTGATCTGTCAGGCGACCACATGATGTGCCATCGAACAGATCACGTGACTGGTATCTGCTCTGTGATCGGACGATTCTACAGCTATCGCGTGCCATGTGTTCGCTAACAGACCACGTGACTTGTATGTGCTCTGTGATTGGTTGATACTGACCGCAATGCTGTATGGGATGAGTAGTTTGTTTACCCCCTTAACTCTGGTACACTATATATATTTTTTTAAAGCCATTTCTAATCTTTTCAATTAATGGTTCACCCTGGAGATTTGTGTAGCTATTCAACATTTGAAACCATGATAACCAGCATGTATCTTTTTAAAATTGTGGCCGTGTCAGTTCCTGGAACCATAACTGTGGAAAGAGGGGCGTGGCCCGTTGCAGCCCTAGGAATTGTTCAATTAAAAGCGGGTCTTGGATAAGTGCTTGGTGGGAAGTGACTTCCACCTAAATGCATCTTTTTTTTTTAATACCTGTTGTTTACAGAGCCTCTGCCTTCAACTTCAAACCTCACGTAAAAACAAATGTCTTCTGTGCCTGCCTTACCTCCTAGTGGAGCGCCTAGTGGAGCGTCACAGTGAAACATATTTTATCTAGAAGAGTCCACTACTAGTTTAACCAACCAACACAAGTTTGCCCTGTAACCACGGTGACTAACACACACACACACACACACACAAAAACACCAGTCGGGCCTTACGTGATGTAACGAAGCTGTCCAGGACGATGCACCCAGGCTGCATCCCGAATGGCTCCCTATATATAGTGCACTACATTTCACCAGAGCCCTATGGTGTGGCCTATGGGCCCTGGTTAAAACTAGTGCACTATATAGAGAATAGGTTGCCATTTGGGATGCAGGTACACATTCTACTACTAATACTGTCACACTAAGTGGTTTTCTTTCCTTCATCAACCAACCAATCGTTCACCACCACCATCTCTCAATACAACTTCAAAAAGTCAAAGCCATTTTCTTCATTTTTTGTTTGTTTTTTGTGTGTGCCGATGCTGTTACAAGTCGGTGTCTTTAAAACATTTTTTTCCTAACTGTGAAAGGTAAACGTTAAGGGTACGTTATAACCCAACAAAATCTCACTTCAGCTCTACTGTTCTATGCATCTTCAATCTCTCCAATCGATCGACATTGGACATTTTGTACTGTCTGAAGATGGTCGCCGTGGCCAACTAATAATGCGCCAGTGTTTCAACTTTAAGGAAATGTTTTGAAAAGTATCAGTGAAGAAGTAAATCAGGAAGCTGAAGTCCTTCAATAAAGACACTGTCATTTACTTTTATGGTCTATTGCTTCTATTTGGTCCATTTCTCTTCTACTGCATTTTTACCCTCACGTGTATAATACACACTATTGCTCCGTTTTTTTTATCCAAAGAGATATAACCATTTCAGATTTCACCAAATTTGTATTTATTTTATTTTTACCGCTCATTTGCATATTAGGCCAGAGTTCCTGAAACAGAACAAATGATCAAACGTTTTTTCCAGAACTTATGTTTTTCTTTAAAAAAAAATCAATATCTAAGCCTAACCTACACATTATGGAAAGGCAGGTTTAGGTAAACATTTGAGTTATGTAGAACCTATAGTTCCAACACCCACCCATCCGTGACCTATAACCCCTCTAGTCTAGACATACCCATGACAGTACATTGCTTTTAGTTTAGTGATGTGTTTTGGTAGCAGTTTGAGATGCGTAGATATTCCTTTATGATGATCATCTAGATCAGGTGCCTCAATGCTATGTTCATGCTCCCATATGTATTGAAGGGTTGTGTGTGTGTGTGTGTGTGTGTGTGGAATCTTTTAGTTCAGCATAGACGCTATCTTACACCAGAATTCTCTAGTCTCTGCGCCTGTCAGGCTTACAACACAGAACTGGTACAAACTGGTCTGAAGCCACAGCAGCAGATTGATTTGACAGGTCCTGCTCTACAGGTGTTACAACATCAAAGCCAATTTAAAAAAACACTTTACCACATGAAGCTGTGATTAGTTATTAAAAACCATAACCTTTTTAATGTTTTGTCTTTGTAATGATTAATTCAGTAAAATGGTACTTAGCATTAATTGCTTTATAAATGAATTTGTAGGCTCGTTAAAGTAGTGCACAAATACGAGGCTGTACTTATAGCAGTCTGACTACCAGAAGTTGATCAACACAATACAATGGCCTTAGGCCCTATGCACATCCAAACACGACCAGGAACTGGATTGAGTGAACAGTTCAGAGCACTAAATGGATCCATACACGGTTGGCTAATCCCGAAATTGAGTGTTATTAGTCATAACATGCCAGCCTGTAGCAGGGTCTTTATCAAGAGACCTTCAGTATTTATCCACACTAATAATGGAGTGTATCACAGACAAGGGGCATGAAATGGCTGCTGGACTAGTCCCATGTGTTAGACTCCCCCAGACGGTCACGTACCCCACCCCCCATGGCAGAATGATGTCAAGGTATGTCATCCTGAGGTGAATGGCAGGTAAGTGCAGTGGACTGTAAACATAAATGTTTAATTACTTTATAAAGATTGAATCTTCCCAGAATGTGTTATTACTCTAACTCAACACATTATTTGATATCTGCAATTAAATGACCACTATCAGTATGTAGGCCGTTTGTAGTCCATGGTGTAGGCCTACACATACCATTACAATACATTTTTATTTTACATAAAAGTTCAGATTAGTTGATGTCGCTTGACCTGTCTATAGAGTTGATAAACTACCACTATGCGATTCTCTGTGGAAGAAGATCCTAGACTACTGTAATACAATATCACCATCACCCACATCTAACGTGGCTACTCTATTCAGGTTATGACTGAGTTAGTATGCTATATGTTGTAACAATATCACTATCACCCACGTCTAACATGGCTACTCTCTATGAACGTTATGAATGGTTTAGTGTGCTATCTGCTGATCTGATCCATCCTTTGTATATACACTACAGTCGTGGTCAAAAGTTTTTTGAGAATGACACAAGTATTGGTCTTCACAAAGTTTGCTGCTTCAGTGTTTTTAGATATTTTTGTCAGATGTTACTATGGTATACTGAAGTATAATTACAAGCATTCCATAAGTGTCAAAGGCTTTTATTGACAATTACATTAAGTTTATGCAAAGAGTCAATATTTGCAGTGTTGACCTTTTCTTTTTCAAGACCTCTGCAATCCGCCCTGGCATGCTGTCAATTAACTTCTGGGCCACATCCTAACTGATGACAGCCCATTCTTGCATAATCAATGCTTGGAGTTTGTCAGAATTTGTGGGGTTTTGTTTGTCCACCCGCCTCTTGAGGATTGACCACAAGTTCTCAATGGGATTAAGGTCTGGAGAGTTTCCTGGCCATGGACCCAAAATGTCGATGTTTTGTTCCCCGAGCCACTTAGTTATCACTTTTGCCTTATGGCAAGGTGCTCCATGATGCTGGAAAAGGCATTGTTCGTCACCAAACTGTTATTGGATGGTTGGGAGAAGTTGCTCTCTGAGGATGTGTTGGTACCATTCTTTATTCATGGCTGTGTTCTTAGGCAAAATTGTGAGTGAGCCCACTCCTTTGGCTGAGAAGCAACCCCACACATGAATGGTCTCCGGATGCTTTACTGTTGGCATGACACAGGACTGATGGTAGCGCTCACCTTGTCTTCTCCGGACAAGCTTTTTTCCGGATGCCCCAAACAATCGGAAAGGGGATTCATCAGAGAAAATGACTTTACCCCAGTCCTCAGCAGTCCAATCCCTGTACCTTTTGCAGAATATCAGTCTGTCCCTGATGTTTTTCCTGGAGAGAAGTGGCTTCCTCGCTGCCCTTCTTGACACCAGGCCATCCTCCAAAAGTCTTCACCTCACTGTGCATGCAGATGCACTCACACCTGTCTGCTGCCATTCCTGAGCAAGCTCTGCACTGGTGGTGCCCCGATCCCGCAGCTGAATCAACTTTAGGAGACGGTCCTGGCTCTTGCTGGACTTTCATGGGTGCCCTGACGCCTTCTTCATAACAATTGAACCTCTCTCCTTGAAGTTCTTGATGATCCGATAAATGGTTGATTTAGGTGCAATCTTACTAGCAGCAATATCCTTGCCTGTGAAGCCCTTTTTGTGCAAAGCAATGATGACGGCACGTGTTTCCTTGCAGGTAACCATGGTTAACAGAGGAAGAACAATGATTTTAAGCGCCACCCTCCTTTTTAAAGCTTCCAGACTGTTATTCTAACTCAATCAGCATGACAGAGTGATCTCCAGCCTTGTCCTCGTCAACACTCTCACCTGTGTTAACGAGAGAATCACTGACATGATGTCAGTTGGTCCTTTTGTGGCAGGGCTGAAATGCAGTGGAAATGTTTTTTTGGGGATTAAGTTCATTTTCATGGCAAAGCGGGACTTTGCAATTAATTGCAATTCATCTGATCACTCTTCATAACATTCTGGAGTATATGCAAATTGGCATCATTAAAAACTGAGGCAGCAGACTTTGTGAAAATTAATATTTGTGTCATTCTCTCAACTTTTGACCACGACTGTAGTTTTGTGTTTGTGCAGTATACAGGCAGCCTTTTTGTCTTTCTTGCATGACTAACATGACTGTTGCTTCTCTTTCAGATGCTGTGTCTGACATCCTGTCTGCCTCCATGAAGCTCCTGGGCAGCTCTGAGATCGCTGCTGCCTCCATAGCCGAGAGGAGGCTCATGCCTGCCGTCCAACAACTAGAAGAGCGGACTGAAGAATCCTCGCTCGCCCCTGCCAAGGACGTTCTAGAACCCCTGGAGGTTCCGGAAACTAAGGTAGAGGAGGAAGTACTATCTGTGGAGGGGGGAGTGGCAGTAGAAGCAGCAGCTGAAGAAGGCGAAGCAGTTGTCGTGGAAACCGAAGAGCCCAAACCAGAAGAGGAGGCTGTTGTTGCTGCCCCTGATGTCGCAGAAGAGGAAGTGGTTGCCGAGGTGACCCCTGAGCCAGAGGAAGTAGTTCCGGTCACCGTAGAGGAGGCTCCAGCTGCTGTTGCAGAGGAGGAGGAGACAGCTGCACCTCCCCTAGAGGCCCCAGAGCTCCCTGCCGCTGTGGAAGCACCTGAGGCGGAGGCTCCTGCTGAGGCACCAATAGAAGAAGCACCAGCAGTAGAGGAATTTGCCCCAGAAGAGGCTGCCACAGTGGAAGAGGCAGCGCCAGTTGAGCCAGAGGTACCTGCCGCCGAAGAGACCCCAGCAGTGGAAGAGGTTGCAGTAGTAGAAGAGACTGCACCAGTTGAAGAGACCCCAGCAGTGGAAGTGGTACCTGCCGCCGAAGAGACCCCAGCAGTGGAAGAGGTTGCAGTAGTAGAAGACACTGCACCAGTTGAAGAGACCCCAGCAGTGGAAGAGGTTGCAGTAGTAGAAGAGACTGGACCAGTTGAAGAGGCCCCAGCAGTGGAAGAGGTTGCAGTAGTAGAAGAGACTGCACCAGTTGAAGAAGCCCCAGCAGTGGAAGAGGTTGCAGTAGTAGAAGAGACTGGACCAGTTGAAGAGACCCCAGCAGTGGAAGAGGTTGCAGTAGTAGAGGAGACTGGACCAGTTGAAGAGACCCCAGCAGTGGAAGAGGTTGCAGTAGTAGAAGAGACTGCACCAGTTGAAGAGACCCCAGCAGTAGCCGGAGAGGTGCCAGTTGCAGAGAAGGATGCCCCAGTTGAGGAAGCCGCTGAAGTGGAGGAACCAGCAGCAGAGGAGGCTGTGGTGGCAGCCCAAGTGTCCGAGGATGAGGCACTCATCGTGGAGGTGATGATGCTGGCAGCAGCCTCAGCCTTGGATGTCGTCAAAGTAGAGGCAGAGGCAGCCCCGGCTGAGGAAGTCAAGGAGACCCTCTTCACTTCATGCCACGAATGTGAAGCCCCAGCTTCTGAGGCTGCCCCAGTTCAGGCTGCGGAGGCAGAAGTCACCCCCATGGAAGCAGAGGTTGTAGAGGCTGCAAGTGTGGAGGAAGTAGAGGCTCCCCTTGCTGGTGTGGAGGAGGCAGTCGTCGAGGTTGAGGTGACAGCCAAGGAGAGTGCCACCGATTGGCCTGCTGAGGTGATCACAGAGGCAGTGGAGGAAGCCAAGGTGGAAGGTAAGTCACAGAGATCTCTACGCTCTTTATTTCTTATGTGTGATTTTTAGGAAAAGGCAGCCAATTTTGATAAATATATTGCTTGTTTTCCCTCGAGTAAAGGGCCATTTGGTCACGAACAACAGAGGACCATGTTTCATTTTTTATAATATTATTTATTAGGATAAGAAACAAATGTAAGCCCCCAACCAATACCACATATAATATAATATAATACCTACTGTGGCCAACATATAGTAGATTCTCCCTAAACTCTGTCCCGTTTCTGTCCACCTTTACTGTGCCAACAGGAGAGACTGCCAGGACAGTAAAAAGGTCCTGCTCAGTGATGTAATAGTACAGAAGGTAAATAGAATGAGACTACCATAGAATTAGAACTAGTATAACAGACATTCCCATTCTAAGCATTCCATTGGAATGTTGGATCATGGCATTAGAATTCTGTGCCCCTTCAGAATTCCGTACATTCCGAATCTTTGACACAAGCAAATGACTTTGTTTTCAGAGCTGCTGTATGTCTGTTCGATTTATTCTAATTCTATGGACAGAACACATTGGCCCCAGCTAGCTAGTAGTTGCTAATGCTTGCATGTTGCATTACAGCATTACACATTGGATTAGTTGCTAGTAAGGATACATGGATTTTCACTAAATACTGTTATTCTTTTTCCTCCCCAGGTGCACAGAGTATGAGCCTGATGTTGGTGACAGCCAGGTCATGACCGGAGACCAGCGAGATGTGCCTTCTGGAACAGTCAACACCCACAGCTGTCAATCAAACAGGATGATCAACACAGAACACACAGAATTAGAACTGGTTTGAATTTGCTTCTATAATTCTATTCAGCTGTAATTATATTTAATTGTTGTCTAATGACAGCAGTTGTCAACCTGGTCACTACATTCCAGGTTCTCATTCAGTTTCTTGGTCTTCTCCTTGTACTATCCCTACCTATGGTGAGGTGACACTTCTATAAGGGTTTGAAGTCTGACTTTATCCCTAGGGAGAGACCCAAATGGTACCCTATCCCCTATATAGTGCACTACTTTTGACCAGGGCCATTTGGGACACACATCAACTATTTTTTTAGTAACACTGTTCCCCAAGTGCCACTATTACAAAGCTGACCAAGACCACTTGATTGTATTTTAAGTTACTTGATAGATGATCGTATACTTGAAGGAATGACGATGGCTAGTAGATTCTGACTGGATTTTTTTTTGGGATTCAATGAAAGAATATCTGAATTGGTGTATAAACCAGTAGGCTATTAGACAACATCTAGATGATTGTGTTCTTGAAGGACTGATGGGTTAGTTCTGCATGGAGTTTTTTGATTCAATCAGGGAATATCTAGAGTAAGTCTAGTTCACAAGCCAGTAGACTGTTGGTAGACAGTATTGTACCCAAGTGATGTAAAATGAATAATATGTAAAAAATAAAAATACATTTTCAGTTCCGATAAGAATGTATGTAATAGTTTTGCAGGTGGGGTTGGTTGTGTGTGTGACACACAGTATGGAAATAATAGTTGTCCAAACTATCCTGTGGTTATACAGTGCTTTCGTAAAGTATTCAGACCCCTTGACTTTTTCCACATTTTGTTACGTTACAGCCTTAATCTAAAATGGATTTTTAAAAATTCCTCAGCAATCTACACACACTACCCCATAATGACAAAGCGAAAACGGGTTTTTAGATATTTTTGCTCATTTGTAAAAATAAAAAAAATAGAAAAAAAATACCTTATTTACATAGTGGGGGAAAAAAAGTATTTAGTCAGCCACCAATTGTGCAAGTTCTCCCACTTAAAAAGATGAGAGAGGCCTGTAATTTTCATCATAGGTACACATCAACTATGACAGACAAATTGAGAAAAAATTATCCAGAAAATCACATTGTAGGATTTTTTATGAATTTATTTGCAAATTATGGTGGAAAATAAGTATTTGGTCACCTACAAACAAGCAAGATTTCTGGCTCTCACAGACCTGTAACTTCTTCTTTAAGAGGCTCCTCTGTCCTCCACTCGTTACCTGTATTAATGGCACCTGTTTGAACTTGTTATCAGTATAAAAGACACCTGTCCACAACCTCAAACAGTCACACTCCAAACTCTACTATGGCCAAGACCAAAGAGCTGTCAAAGGACACCAGAAACAAAATTGTAGACCTGCACCAGGCTGGGAAGACTGAATCTGCAATAGGTAAGCAGCTTGGTTTGAAGAAATCAACTGTGGGAGCAATTATTAGGAAATGGAAGACATACAAGACCACTGATAATCTCCCTCGATCTGGGGCTCCACGCAAGATCTCACCCCGTGGGGTCAAAATGATCACAAGAACGGTGAGCAAAAATCCCAGAACCACACGGGGGGACCTAGTGAATGACCTGCAGAGAGCTGGGACCAAAGTAACAAAGCCTACCATCAGTAACACACTACGCCGCCAAGGACTCAAATCCTGCAGTGCAGACGTGTCCCCCTGCTTAAGCCAGTACATGTCCAGGCCCGTCTGAAGTTTACTAGAGTGCATTTGGATGATCCAGAAGAGGATTGGGAGAATGTCATATGGTCAGACGAAACCAAAATATAACTTTTTGGTAAAAACTCAACTCGTCGTGTTTGGAGGACAAAGAATGCTGAGTTGCATCCAAAGAACACCATACCTACTGTGAAGCATGGGGGTGGAAACATCATGCTTTGGGGCTGTTTTTCTGCAAAGGGACCAGGACGACTGATCCGTGTAAAGGAAAGAATGAATGGGGCCATGTATCGTGAGATTTTGAGTGAAAACCTCCTTCCATCAGCAATGGCATTGAAGATGAAACGTGGCTGGGTCTTTCAGCATGACAATGATCCCAAACACACCGCTCGGGCAACGAAGGAGTGGCTTCGTAAGAAGCATTTCAAGGTCCTGGAGTGGCCTAGCCAGTCTCCAGATCTCAACCCCATAGAAAATCTTTGGAGGGAGTTGAAAGTCTGTGTTGCCCAGCGACAGCCCCAAAACATCACTGCTCTAGAGGAGATCTGCATGGAGGAATGGGCCAAAATACCAGCAACAGTGTGTGAAAACCTTGTGAAGACTTACAGAAAACGTTTGACCTGTGTCATTGCCAACAAAGGGTATATAACAGAGTATTGAGAAACTTTTGTTATTGACCAAATACTTATTTTCCACCATAATATGCAAATAAATTCATAAAAAATCCTACAATGTGATTTTCTGGATTTTTTTTTCTCATTTTGTCTGTCATAGTTGACGTGTACCTATGATGAAAATTACAGGCCTCTCTCATCTTTTTAAGTGGGAGAACTTGCACAATTGGTGGCTGACTAAATACTTTTTTCCCCCACTAAGTATTCAGACCCTTTTACTATGAGACTCAAAATTGAGCTCAGGTGCATCCTGTTTCCATTGATCATCATTGAGATGTTTCTACAACTTGATTGGAGTCCACCTGTGGACCCTAAGCACACAGCCAAGACAATGCAGGAGTGGCTTCGGGACAAGTCTCTGAATGTTCTTGAGTGGCCCAGCCAGAGCCTGGACTTGAACCCGATCGAACATCTCTTGAGAGACATGAAAATAGCTGTGCAGCGACGCTCCCCATAAAACCTGACAGAGCTTGAGAGGATCTGCAGAGAAGAATGGGAGAAACTCCCCAAATAGAGGTGTGCCATGCTTGTAGTGTCATACCCAAGAAGATTAAAGGCTGTAATTGCTGCCAAAGCTGCTTCAACAAAGTACTGAGTAAAGGGTCTGAATACTTATGTAAATGTGATATTTCTGTTTTGTTTTTTAAATAAATTAGCAACCATTTCTAGAAACCTATTTTTGCTTTGTCATTATGGGGTATTGTGTAGATTATTGAGGGGGGGAAAAAAAAACTATTTAATCAATTTTAGAATAAGGCTGTAACCTAACAAAATGTGGAAAAAGTAAAGGGGTCTGAATACTTTCCGAAGGCACTGTATTCATGTTGCTTGTGTATATTTTGAATGGAAAGACTAGTTTGAAGATCCAAACTAACTATCCTGTCACTATATAGTCATGTTGTGTATATTTTGTATTGGAAGACTAGTTTGAAGATCCAACTAACTCTATCCTGTCACTATATAGTTATGTTTATTTTGCATGGAAAAACTAGTTTGAAGATCCAAACTAACACTATCCTGTCACTATATAGTCGTGTATATTTTGTAAGTAAAGACTAGTTTGAAGATCCAAACGAACACTATCCTGTTACTATTTAAGTCATTATATAAGTATGTAATTGCTAAAAAAGTACTATGACGTCATACTCAGAAACGTGTCATATGTTCTATTTCTCAATTAAATGGAGCTGTACATTTATTCAGAATTGACAAGTGGACTGTACACTTTTGACTTTGAACTTCATTGGCATGATCCCCTATCCAATTATGAGAAATTACATTTGGATAGCCCATCATTTTGATGGATGAAATTATGAATTCAATAATATCAATGATTTTAAATATGTATAGTATCTGTTATTGTATAGACTATTGTTGATAAAACAAGTTTACTGGAGAACGGAGACCAAGTAGAGACTTTTGGACAAGGTGGATAATTGTATAATATAAGGCAGTTTATTCAGAGGTAAAGATATCTGGAATCGCGTGCACGGACCCGTTCGTCAATCTCGTAGGGAGATATCTGAGAGAGCCCCGAAACATTGTGTGCTGACATTTTATACAATAAAATGAAGTAGGTTGATTCTAGTAGTTCTGATCTTCTGATTGGTCCTGATGAGTTGGGCGAGGTCCCCTCCAGGTTAGTATCACTGTTGCATTGGCTCTGAGTCGGGTTCTCTGTCTTCAGATGTTCAGCCTAAGAGAAGGGGATTTTTGTGTGTGTGTGTGTGTGTGTGTATGTGTGTGTGTGTGTGTGTGTGTGTGTGTGTGTGTGTGTATGTGTGTGTGTGTGTGTGTGTGTGTGTGTGTGTGTGTGTGGGGGTGTGTATGTGTGTGTCCTCAGAGCAAGAACTCGTGAGTTGGAAGAACTGAGAGACCTATGGCGTGGGTGTTGTCCTTAGCCACCTGCTGATAAGGCTGACAAGATAGGACTCTTTTGTGCATTGTATTGAATACAAAGGCCCAACACAAAATGGGTCATGCACAAGATTTTAGTCAGACCAAGCTATAACATTATATATTTACTACGACACTATAATTATTGTAAATAAATAAAGGTGATTTAAACTGTTATTTGGTTGTCAATGTTATTTGGTTGTCAATGTTTTGTGTTGTGCCGTTTTTGTATGTAGCCCTACAGGATAAAACGACACATTTTGCCCAGTAGATGGAGCTCAATACTTCCATTCAATCTCCTTCAATCTGTTTGAATGGGTAACAGTCCCATGCAGCCAGTGTTTATTGAATTGTGTTCATCAGAGACTGGAAGGCTACATGTGGTGCTCCATGCATGCATGATATAATGACTAGCAGTAGTGCAAATTATAGGAAACCAAACGCACAGAGAACGGGCATATCCCTTCAGAAAATAATTTGACACAACCGAGAAATAACAAAGTAATTATATTTCAATGCACTGAAACATAACATCAGTAGTATAACAATTTTGGAGAATGTTGCAAAAGAAAAGGTATACTGTTTATGGGGAAGGGTCGGGAGGCGGCCAGTTGCTGTTCTGCGTGACGTCACGGCCTGTGTGTCAATCGCTGGCAGGCTGTGTAGTTTTTTGACCCGAATCTCTCCTCCCAGCAAAAAAAACGAGTCGAGCCCCTTTGGAAAAAAACACAGCTTTATTTATTGTTCAGAATGACATAGAAACGTGCTTTCACAACCAAATCCTTATTTTGTAGAGAGCTTTACATTATGTGGCATATTAACAACGGTTAGCTAGCTTTGACGTTAGCAACGCCGCTAGCTGGGTCTGTTCGGGAGAGGTTACGGACTGTCACTGGCAGCAGCTAACGTTACCATTGTGTGAGTGTCTGTTGTTGACTCGGCCTTGCATCAGCAACCCCCTTTGGACTGGGCAGAAGAGGCATTTCAAGGTAAAGAGATTCTCGTAGCTTTCCATATGCTAATTCAGCAAAACATAACTTGGCTAGCTAACAAGCTGTTAATCGTGAATACCAGAACATAAATATGCATGTTAGCTAACTAACTAGAGAGGAGGGGGCATCACAATTTAGCCAGTCAATAATCGTAACTAGTTAGGTAGTTGCTGTGGTTTGTAAATAAATAAACTCTTTAATCAATGTTCATGTTTGAGGGCGAGAGAGGGCTCCAGAAAGTTACAGTATAAGGGCTAACGTTAGCTAGTTAACGTTCACTTACTAGCTAACTTACTTGCCCATGGCTGTAATGCTGGCCCTCAGTTTTGTTTAATACCCATGCATTTACACTGGCAAATGCTCTGGTATTGACAATTTAACCCAATAGGACCCTATACTATTGCCCAAGAGTTAGATTACAGACAATAGTAGTGTCGGCAGTAGCTGCAAAGGCGTCAGTGGGTTTTGTGAAGCGCTCATAGCTAGTTAGCAAACGTTACTCTGCTACATTTTACATTTGAGTAATTTAGCCGACGCTCTTATACAGAGCGACTTACAGTAGTGAGTGCATACGTTTTCATATTTCATTTACGTACATTATTAATACGTTTTTCGGACTAGCTAAAACAGACACTGATCTGACTGCAATGTTATCTAGCCCTAGATAAGACTATGGCTGCACTTGACATTTGGCCTGCAATAACTGCTTCCCTCACAATTTGTGACTAGCTGCTAATGCAAACAAACTGATAGCTAACTAAATGAGAGTAGCACTGGCTTAGAGTAACCTTTGAACCAGCGAGCTAGGCCCTGAAGGATAGTTATCTCACAAGTGAACGACGGTTAGATCTTGGCACCAATGTCCTTTAGGCTGCTAGTAACTGGTGTCCAACTGACACTTTTTACACAGTGAAACTTGCAGTCTGTGTACCGACTGACGATGCTGAGCAAAAGCCTACGATTACTTGAATATTACATATTGGGTGAATGTTCGGTTGGTTCCCAAGAGAGTGGGAAGCCAATGTCTGGTGGTGGGATGGACGACAGGGTTACCATAGTGATATGATATGAATAAATGCTCACAGTGAGTGTTGGGTTCACTGGTCAAACACTGGCACTGATATGAGAGTGTGTCATTGTAGAGTAGATACACACACTGCAGTGCTACACCTGATAGGCTACTTGATCATGTCCTGCACACAGTCTAGTCTACATCCAGTATCTCTCAGCCACTGACTGGGTACAAATAATATGACATCTCTCAGCCACTGACTGGGTACAAATAATATGACATCTCTCAGCCACTGACTGGGTACAAATAATATGACATCTCTCAGCCACTGACTGGGTACAAATAATATGACATCTCTCAGCCACTGACTGGGTATAAATAATATGACATCTCTCAGCCACTGACTGGGTACAAATAATATGACATCTCTCAGCCACTGACTGGGTACAAATAATACGACATCTCTCAGCCACTGACTGGGTACAAATAATACGACATCTCTCAGCCACTGACTGGGTACAAATAATACGACATCTCTCAGCCACTGACTGGGTACAAATAATATGACATCTCTCAGCCACTGACTGGGTACAAATAATATGACATCTCTCAGCCACTGACTGGGTACAAATAATACGACATCTCTCAGCCACTGACTGGGTACAAATAATATGACATCTCTCAGCCACTGACTGGGTATAAATAACATGACATCTCTCAGCCACTGACTGGGTACTAATAATATGACATCTCTCAGCCACTGACTGGGTACAAATAACATGACATCTCTCAGCCACTGACTGGGTATAAATAATATGACATCTCTCAGCCACTGACTGGGTATAAATAATACGACATCTCTCAGCCACTGACTGGGTACAAATAATACGACATCTCTCAGCCACTGACTGGGTATAAATAATACGACATCTCTCAGCCACTGACTGGGTACAAATAATACGACATCTCTCAGCCACTGACTGGGTATAAATAATATGACATCTCTCAGCCACTGACTGGGTATAAATAACATGACATCTCTCAGCCACTGACTGGGTATAAATAACATGACATCTCTCAGCCACTGACTGGGTATAAATAATACGACATCTCTCAGCCACTGACTGGGTATAAATAATACCACATCTATTGTAGACAGGGGTCACATTAGCTTTCAAAGACCTGCGTTTTAAACCATTTCACCTGTGTTTTATATTGAAAGTTAACTTTTATTTGGTTGCTTCAATAGAGTGATAAGGGGAGTGCAACTATAGACATTTCTTCACACAAAATACATTAGTGCAGCACATTCTGCGGAAAATCGTTTTCATTAGATGACAACAGAAGTGCAATGCTATTTGGCTAGCAGCCACACAAGTAAATTAGCTTACAATGAAAAAGCAAGGTGGTTTTTGCAAAAACGATGCATACTTATCAAAGAAAGAATCTAGCCAGGTACATTTCCTAATGTTTTCTTGAAGTTAATCTTGCATTTTAACTTGCTAATGGAGGAAAACTACACCTACACCGAAGGCTGGAGAAAAGTAGCGTACACATCAGTCAAAGCGTTGTCTAGTGATCCAATGACGAGTGCAAAGATATTTCATCCTAGTGGAGAAGTGCAACTGAAGCACGGAATTAGTCCTTTTACATTCAGGATTTGGTGCGAACCCTGACTGAAGCCGGGCAGAATTTACATTAAGAATCATTTTGGATCTGCTTTTTATCTAAAGTTTTAGTTTTATCTTTCCTTTACTACGTGAAAAACGCAAAATCCTGTGTTAACGCAACCCCTGGTTAAAAGAATACCCACACATTGAAACGTACACAACTGAAACTTTGTTAAAAAGGTTAACTTTTGGGAAGTATATGTGCGGGTGTCATAGTGTGGATCCCAGGGTTCTCCCCAAAGAATGTTAGAGGGGTGCTGCGCCACTTTGTGGACTGGCTGCGAGACCATTTTATATTTTTACCTTATTTTGTTATCATTTGTGGCTAGATTGCAGGAAATGGCAGTTACAGGTGTTCAAAAATACACACTGTTGCTGTGGGAGATGTTACAGTTGATGGTGAATAACTGCTAGTGTCTAACTGTAACTGTTGCTGTGGGAGATGTTACAGTTGATGGTGAATAACTGCTAGTGTCTAACTGTAACTGTTGCTGTGGGAGATGTTACAGTTGATGGTGAATAACTGCTAGTGTCTAACTGTAACTGTTGTGTTGGGAGATGTTACAGTTGATGGTGAATAACTGCTAGTGTCTAACTGTAACTGTTGTGTTGGGAGATGTTACAGTTGATGGTGAATAACTGCTAGTGTCTAACTGTAACTGTTGCTGTGGGAGATGTTACAGTTGATGGTGAATAACTGCTAGTGTCTAACTGTAACTGTTGCTGTGGGAGATGTTACAGTTGATGGTGAATAACTGCTAGTGTCTAACTGTAACTGTTGCTGTGGGAGATGTTACAGTTGATGGTGAATAACTGCTAGTGTCTAACTGTAACTGTTGCTGTGGGAGATGTTACAGTTCATGGTGAATAACTGCTAGTGTCTAACTGTAACTGTTGCTGTGGGAGATGTTACAGTTGATGGTGAATAACTGCTAGTGTCTAACTGTAACTGTTGTGTTGGGAGATGTTACAGTTGATGGTGAATAACTGCTAGTGTCTAACTGTAACTGTTGTGTTGGGAGATGTTACAGTTCATGGTGAATAACTGCTAGTGTCTAACTGTAACTGTTGCTGTGGGAGATGTTACAGTTGATGGTGAATAACTGCTAGTGTCTAACTGTAACTGTTGTGTTGGGAGATGTTACAGTTGATGGTGAATACTGCTAGTGTCTAACTGTAACTGTTGTGTTGGGAGATGTTACAGTTCATGGTGAATAACTGCTAGTGTCTAACTGTAACTGTTGCTGTGGGAGATGTTACAGTTGATGGTGAATAACTGCTAGTGTCTGTCTGTGGGTGTGTGAGGTCATCTGGTGTTGGCTTGTGTGTGTGCATCTTTGGTCATCTAGGCCTAAAGTGTGTGTGTGTGTGTGTGTGTGTGTGTGTGTGTGTGTGTGTGAGACACACGAGACAGGGCAGGGCACAAGGCAGGGCACAAGGCAGGGCGTTGTATCTTTAGCAACTACCCTCAGTCTGAACAAAAGCTCTGTTGTTGCAGGATCATGTGACGCTGTGTGTGCGTTCCACCCTCATCATGTGATCTGGTGGCAGGGCTCACACTCTCAAAGTGCTGAGTCTCTCTGAGGCTCACTCTCTTTCCACCGCATGGAGAAGACGGAGGAGAGAGAGATGGAAGGAAAGAGGTTACAGCGAAATAGAGGCAAAGAGAATGGTTCTGCAGTGCAGCAAGACCACATTCTCTCTTTCTTCCTGTCGTTCACCCCTTTTACCACTACCTCTTTCTTTTGCTTGTTGAAAGACAGTCAAACAAAGCTCCTACCTGGATGTCATGGATGAATTGACAGCAGGACGAACTCCGAATATTGTGGGATTCCTTGGAATGTTGGATACTTCTATGGAATGTTGGAATCCTTCCAATATTGGATCCAGTCTTGGGATGAATGTGCAGGATTCAGGTTGAGCATGTGGAGCAGTCATGAGCCTCAGTGACTCTATCTATTCCATGGTTTCCCTTGGTAAGTAGCCTGTCTGAGGAATGTTTGGATTGGTTGTTTAGCACCTCTGTATCTTGTATGGTTAAGATGTTGGCTTCAGTTAGACTTTGGAATAACAGGACTTTGGAGTGAGTGATAGACTACATGCTCTTTATGTCATGTATATGGATAGGCATTTGGTAGTGTTTTATGCCAGTAGTCAAACCAATCATGCTAACTCTGTAAACTAAGTACTACGGTTTGGTGGTGTTTTTTGTTGCCAGTCTTTCGTTGACTTTTTAGGGTTTGCAACTGTTGTGTGTACTTCTGTGGTGACTTGGCAGCCTCTCTTGACGGGCCTGTAATTCTGGTTTGAATGTTGAAAGTCTTGTTTGAGACTTGTTTAAAGTCTGCTGCTTTGTGTGTTTGTGTGTGTGTGTGTGGACGTGTTTAACTATTCTTGTGGGGACCAGAAGTCCCCACAAGAATAGTAAACGAACAAAACTTTGACCAACTGGGGACATTTTTGTTAGTCCCCATGAGGTCAAATGCTATTTCTAGGGGGTTTAGGGTTAAGGTTAGAATTAGTGTTAGGGTTAGAATTACGTTAAGGGTTAGGGAGCTAGGTTTAGTTTTAGTGTTAGGGTAAGAGTTAGGTTTAGGGTTATGGAAAATAGGATTTTGAATGGGACTGAATTGTGTGGCCCCACAAGGTTAGCTGTACAGGACTGTGTGTGTGAGTAAGGCCGTCATACCTGTGTTTGTCCCACATTAACTAGCTACAACGAATATGTGGCTCCGTTCTAGTATTGCTTTGGACAAAGGAACATTGGGTGCAACAGCTGTAAGGGAATGTCTGTGTGCTGTGTGCGGACTTTGACTAGGCTACTTTATATCTTGTTTATGAAACGACTGTAGCTGGCGCCACTGCATTTCCAAGGTTTTTGAGAGAGGGAGGGAGAGAGCGAGAGAGAGAGAGGGGGGGGGGGGGGGGTAAAAAGAGAGAGAAACACCGGGAGGGAGAGAGACCATCCTCCAGCTGCTTTGTGATTTGCTGATGGCATCCTTTCTTTGACTGTCATCTTAGTGTCAGTGTTTTCCACCGGCCTAGTGCCAGAGTGAAAAGAAACTTGCAGACGTTGCAGCTCTCAAGGATGCAGGGCTGTGCACTTTAACTCTCTCTCTCTCTCTCTCTCACTCACTCACTCACTCACTCACTCACTCACTCACTCACTCACTCACTCACTCACTCACTCACTCACTCACTCACTCACTCACTCACTCACTCACTCACTCACTCACTCACTCACTCACACACACACACACACACACACACACACACACACACACACACACACACACACACACACACACACACACACACACACACACACACACACACACACACACACACACACACACACACACACACACACTATGTTGCTAGGATGATAGGCCTGCTATTTCCCATGCCAGAGACAGAAAGACTGAAGAAGGCTGTGAAATGTATACAGCAGGCAGCAACACAATGCACAGTGACTGACCAGTGTATAAAGGTCAGGTTTAGTTAGTTAACAATAGGTTTAATGACCAGGCTATGGGAATAAGGTTAGGCTAATGACCAAGGGCTTCTCTGCACTACAGGTCCTGTGTCTGTTTTTAGTCTACTACAGGTTAAGTGAACTAAACTATATTCATGAAGTTGTTAATAAGGTCTGCAGGTCCTGGATCAGTTGTCAGCTGGCCTGTGTTGAATAATTGAAGAGAGGGGTTTCCATTTAGTACTGATCCCAGCCCTGTCCTCCTTCACCAGCCTGTCCCCATTCATAATACAACTACATTACAGTAGGCAACACCACACTAGCCTGTCCCCATTCATAATACAACTACATTACAGTAGGCAACACCACACCAGCCTGTCCCCATTCATAATACAACTACATTACAGTAGGCAACACCACACCAGCCTGTCCCCATTCATAATACAACTACATTACAGTAGGCAACACCACACCAGCCTGTCCCCATTCATAATACAACTACATTACAGTAGGCAACACCACACCAGCCTGTCCCCATTCATAATACAACTACATTACAGTAGGCAACACCACACCAGCCTGTCCCCATTCATAATACAACTACATTACAGTAGGGAACGGATAGTTACTAAAAGGGCTGTGATGGCCATGAATCGGATGGAAGGTACAAGGAAAAATACTAGATTAAACAGAGAGACCATGAATAAGTGACAATTAGGCTAAATGAGAAAGCTAATTATAAGAGAGAGATATATTCTTAGTCGAGGGTCAGTCAGATTCATTTGCCCTGGTCTCAAAGAAATGAGAGGAGAGACTCTTGTTTGAGGATGTTGTGTGTGTTGAGTTCTGTCCTAGATAGCACTGAGCTGGGATTTAGGTATTGACCTGTCCTGTATCAAACAGAGGAGGGAACAGTCATCATGTTTAGGTATTGACCTGTCCTGTATCAAACAAAGGGAACAGTCATCATGTTTTGGTATTGACCTGTCCTGTATCAAACAGAGGGAACAGTCATCATGTTTTGGTATTGACCTGTCCTGTATCAAACAGAGGAGGGAACAGTCATCATGTTTTGGTATTGACCTGTCCTGTATCAAACAGAGGGAACAGTCATCATGTTTTGGTATTGACCTGTCCTGTATCAAACAGAGGAGGGAACAGTCATCATGTTTTGGTATTGACCTGTCCTGTATCAAACAGAGGAGGGAACAGTCATCATGTTTTGGTATTGACCTGTCCTGTATCAGAGTTGGGAACAGTCATCATGTTTTGGTATTGACCTGTCCTGTATCAAACAGAGGAGGGAACAGTCATCATGTTTTGGTATTGACCTGTCCTGTATCAAACAGAGGAGGGAACAGTCATCATGTTTTGGTATTGACCTGTCCTGTATCAAACAGAGGGAACAGTCATCATGTTTTGGTATAGACCTGTCCTGTATCAAACTGAGGAGGGAACAGTCATCATGTTTTGGTATTGACCTGTTCTGTATCAAACAGAGGGAACAGTCATCATGTTTTGGTATTGACCTGTCCTGTATCAAACAAAGGGAACATTCATCATGTTTTGGTATTGACCTGTCCTGTATCAAACAGAGGGAACAGTCATCATGTTTTGGTATTGACCTGTCCTGTATCAAACAGAGGGAACAGTCATCATGTTTTGGTATAGACCTGTCCTGTATCAAACTGAGGAGGGAACAGTCATCATGTTTTGGTATTGACCTGTCCTGTATCAAACAGAGGGAACAGTCATCATGTTTTGGTGTTGACCTGTCCTGTATCAAACAAAGGGAACAGTCATCATGTTTTGGTATTGACCTGTCCTGTATCAAACAGAGGGAACAGTCATCATGTTTTGGTATTGACCTGTCCTGTATCAGAGTTGGGAACAGTCATCATGTTTAGGTATAGACCTGTCCTGTATCAAACAGAGGGAACAGTCATCATGTTTTGGTATTGACCTGTCCTGTATCAGAGGAGGGAACAGTCATTATGTTTTGGTATTGACCTATCCTGTATCAGAGGAGGGAACAGTCATTATGTTTTGGTATTGACCTGTCCTGTATCAAACAGAGGGAACAGTCATCATGTTTTGGTATTGACCTGTCCTGTATCAGAGTTGGGAACAGTCATCATGTTTAGGTATAGACCTGTCCTGTATCAAACAGAGGGAACAGTCATCATATTTTGGTATTGGCCTGTCCTGTATCAGAGGAGGGAACAGTCATCATGTTTTGGTATTGACCTATCCTGTATCAGAGGAGGGAACAGTCATCATGTTTTGGTATTGACCTATCCTGTATCAGAGGAGGGAACAGTCATTATGTTTTGGTATTGACCTATCCTGTATCAGAGGAGGGAACAGTCATCATGTTTTGGTATTGACCTATCTTGTATCAGAGGAGGGAACAGTCATCATGTTTTGGTATTGACCTATCCTGTATCAGAGGGAACAGTCATCATGTTTTGGTATTGACCTATCCTGTATCAGAGGAGGGAACAGTCATCATGTTTTGGTATTGACCTTTCCTGTATCAGAGGAGGGAACAGTCATCATGTTTTGGTATTGACCTATCCTGTATCAGAGGGAACAGTCATCATGTTTTGGTATTGACCTATCTTGTATCAGAGGAGGGAACAGTCATCATGTTTTGGTATTGACCTATCCTGTATCAGAGGGAACAGTCATCATGTTTTGGTATTGACCTATCCTGTATCAGAGGAGGGAACAGTCATCATGTTTTGTCCTACATCCTCAACAATGATCTGCTTCCTAGAATTCTGCCTCCTACAGTGCTGCTGTGTGAGTGTGAGATCAAGTGAAAGGGGTAGTGTGTGTGTGTGTGTGTGTGTGGCGAGAGAGAGAGAGAGAAGTGAAGTGTGTGTGTGTCCAGTCCGTACTTCCTCCTCTCAAAGTCCAATAATCCTTCCTCTGAGCAGGAAATGAGGGCCTTGTGCCCTTAGCAACCATTGCCATGGTGTCTGTTGGTCGTCAGGCAGAGGGTAGTGGAGCTGAGTCAACTTCCTGTTTTGGTTCTTAGTTCCCCTCTCCACCGACAGGCACTTCCTGTAGCCAGGAGATGGGGAGTTGGAGAGGGAATAGGCCCTTAGAGATGGGAGGGGGGGAGTTGGAGAGGGAATAGGCCCTTAGAGATGGGGAGTTGGAGAGGGAATAGGCCCTTAGAGATGGGAGAGCTGGAGAGGGGATAGGCCCTTAGAGATGTGGGGAGGGGAGGGAAGTTGGGAGGATGGCCCTTAGAGATGGGAGGTGGGGAGTTGGAGAGGGAATAGGCCCTTAGAGATGGGGAGTTGGAGAGGGAATAGGCCCTTAGAGATGGGGAGTTGGAGAGGGAATAGGCCCTTAGAGATGGGGAGTTGAGAGGGATAGGCCCTTAGAGATGGGGAGTGGAGAGGAATAGGCCTTAGAGAGGGAGGGAGCTGGGAGAGGGCATAGGCCCTTAGAATGATGAGGATGAGAGCTGTGAGAGAGAGGAGAGGGAGAGAGGTCCTAGAAACCTGGACGGCTCAGAAGAGAGATAGGAGAGGGAAGAGAGAGAGGAGGTCCTACTGAAACTGGGACTGGCTCAGTAGTAAAGGAGGGGAAAGAGAGAGAGGAGGTCCTACTGAAACCTGGGACTGGCTCAGTAGTAAAGAGGGGAAGAGAGAGAGGAGGTCCTACTGAAACCTGGGACTAGGCTCAGTAGTAAGGAGGGGAAGAGAGAGAGGAGGTCCTACTGAAACCTGGGACTGGCTCAGTAGTAAGGAGGGGAAGAGAGAGAGGAGGTCCTACTGAAACCTGGGACTGGCTCAGTAGTAAGGAGGGGAAGAGAGAGAGGAGGTCCTACTGAAACCTGGGACTGGCTCAGTAGTAAGGAGGGGAAGAGAGAGAGGAGGTCCTACTGAAACCTGGGACTGGCTCAGTAGTAAAGAGGGGAAGAGAGAGAGGAGGTCCTACTGAAACCTGGGACTGGCTCAGTAGTAAGGAGGGGAAGAGAGAGAGGAGGTCCTACTGAAACCTGGGACTGGCTCAGTAGTAAAGAGGGGAAGAGAGAGAGGAGGTCCTACTGAAACCTGGGACTGGCTCAGTAGTAAGGAGGGGAAGAGAGAGAGGAGGTCCTACTGAAACCTGGGACTGGCTCAGTAGTAAGGAGGGGAAGAGAGAGAGGAGGTCCTACTGAAACCTGGGACTGGCTCAGTAGTAAGGAGGGGAAGAGAGAGAGGAGGTCCTACTGAAACCTGGGACTGGCTCAGTAGTAAAGAGGGGAAGAGAGAGAGGAGGTCCTACTGAAACCTGGGACTGGCTCAGTAGTAAGGAGGGGAAGAGAGAGAGGAGGTCCTACTGAAACCTGGGACTGGCTCAGTAGTAAGGAGGGGAAGAGAGAGAGGAGGTCCTACTGAAACCTGGGACTGGCTCAGTAGTAAAGAGGGGAAGAGAGAGAGGAGGTCCTACTGAAACCTGGGACTGGCTCAGTAGTAAGGAGGGGAAGAGAGAGAGGAGGTCCTACTGAAACCTGGGACTGGCTCAGTAGTAAGGAGGGGAAGAGAGAGAGGAGGTCCTACTGAAACCTGGGACTGGCTCAGTAGTAAGGAGGGGAAGAGAGCAGCAACTAGAGATTTCCCTAGACCACAGGTCTCTCTTACCATCATGTACGCCTGTCCATGCCAAAGACAACTCGCTCTCAACGACTGGCTTTATAAATGTTAAATAACTCTCCTTCTGTCTCTTCCTCAGTCTCCTGGGTCTGGGCTGTGGCCTGGCTGCAGTACCGGAGGCCACCAGCGTGGGGCAGTAGAGCGAGGCAGGGCCAGGAGGCAGCAGTGAGTAGGCCGGGGCTAGATCTAGCCTGGAGGGGCATGCGTCATGACCTCGGTGGTGCTCGTTGACAGTGGAGGGGCGGTGGTGGAGTATGTAACCGCTGTGGAGGACCCCCATCAGGTGAGTTGTGAGAGGGTAGGGCCGATTCAAAAAAAATAAAAAATATATAAGAATCCTTTAAGGAACTAACACTTGCACTTGACTTTCCCCCCTACATGCTGACCACATGCACAAGGTCCTCTACTCTGACAATTAATCCACAGATAAAAGGGTAAACAGAGTTAGTTTCTAGTAATCTCTCCTCCTTCAGGCTTCATCTTTGGACTTTATATGGCGATTGGCAACCAACTTTAAGGTGCATTACCACCACCAACTGGACTGGAGTGTGGACCTCAGTTCATCTTTCAATCACCCACGTGGGTATATGCTCCTAAAAAGCAATGAGGAGATGGGAGAGGCGGGACTTGCAGCGTATCAATCGTCACAAATAAAACCAAGTTCTATTTTAGCGCCTGGCTATGCAGACGCTCGTTGATGTGCGCAAGCAGTGAGGGTGCAATGATTGAATAACATGTATGTGTCCATTTATTTTGCAACGCTCCCGATGCGGACGGTGTGGTCAGCCTGTTACTAGCTCTGACTTGGCTGATTAACTACTTTATTGAGGAAAAATGTACTTGCAATGACTGTGATATGTGGTTGTCCCAGCTAGCTATCTTAAGATGAATGCACTAACTTTAAGTCTCTCTGGATAAGAGCGACTGCAACATGTAAATGTTGAATTATGAGCAATGAAATCACCTAGGACCTAGACTGGCTTCCTTTACATGTCTGCTTTCCTTAAAGAAAGGACTAGATAGGGGCTGCGCTCCAATATTCATACTCACTGGCCTCCTTTACACGTCTCCTATACTTTGAGAAAGGACTGTGTAGCAATAGAGAAAGTGCTCTGTTTAGGATGTTCTGTTTTCTTAACCAAGCTCTTCTTTCTCTTTGTCTGACTCTTTGCACCCCTGTTCTCCAGGAGGGGGAGTGTGAGGTGGAGGAGTGTGAGGAGGGAGATGGTGAAGCTGAGGTAGAGGTGGAGGGAGACGTGGTCGAAGACGAGACAGATGGGGACCTGGATGAAGAGGAGGAGTACCCAGCGGTGATCGTGGAGGAGGTCCCAGGCAGGGGGCTGGAGCAGTGCTTCTCTGCCCAGGTTCTGGTCTACGATGATGGGACCTACCTGATGCAGGACGTGGGGGAAGAACAGGAGGTGGAGACGGAGGTGGTGGAGACAGGTGAGAGGGGTGGGATGTACACGCATACAGGCCTACATACACCTACCCAACCTGAATACACTAGTGGGATACATACAGTGCTATGAAAAAGTATTTGCGCCCTTTCTAATTTTCTCTACTTTTGCATATTTGTGATACTGAATGTTATCAGATCTTCAACCAAAACCTAATATTAGATAAAGGGAACATAAGTGAACAAATAACACATTTATTTAATAAACAAAGTTATGCAACACCCAATGCCCCTGTGTGAAAAAGTAATTGCCCCCTTATACTCAATAACTGGTTTTGCCACCTTTAGCTGCAATGACTCCAACCAAATGCTTCCTGTAGTTGTTGATCAGTCTCTCACGTCACTGTGGAGGAATTTTGGCCCACTCTTCCATGCAGAACTGCTTTAACTCAGTGACGTGTGGGTTTTCAAGCATGAACTGCTCGTTTCAAGTCCTGCTACAACATCTCAATTGGGATTAGGTCTGGACTTTGACTAGGCCATTCCAAAACTTCAAATTTGTTGCTTTTTAGCAATTTTCATGTAGACTTGATTGTGTGTTTTGGATCATGGTCTTGCTGCATGACCCAGCTGCGCTTCAGCTTCAGCTCACAGACGGATGGTCTGACATTCTCCTGTAGAATTCTCTGATACAGAGCAGAATTCATGGTTCCTTCTATTAAGGCAAGTCGTCCAGGTCCTGAGGCAGCAAAGCATCCCCAAACCATCACACCACCACCACCATGCTTGACCTTTGGTATGAGGTTCTTACTGTGGAATGCAGAGTTTGGTTTTCGCCAGGCATTACTGGAACCATGTTGTCCAAAAAGTTATACTTTTGAATCATCTGTCCATAGAACGTTCTTCCAAGAGTCTTGATGATCATCCAGGTGCTTTTTGGCAAACTTGAGTCAACTTTTTGGACGAGATAAAGGTGGTACAACCAGTTATTGAGTATAAGGGGGCAATTACTTTTTCACACAGGGGAATTGGGTGTTGCATAACTTTGTTTATTAAATAAATATGTAATTGTTGTGTTATTTGTTCACTTATGTTCCCTTTATCTAATATTAGGTTTTGGTTGAAGATCTGATAACATTCAGTATCACAAATATGCAAAAGCAGAGAAAGTTTGGACACACCTACTCATTCCAGGGTTTTTCTTTATTTTTATTATGTTCTATATTGTAGAATAATAGTGAAGACATCAAAACTATGAAATAACACATGGAATCATGTAGTAACCAAAAATGTGTTCAACAAATCAAGATATATTTAATATTTGAGATTCTTCAGCTACCCTTTGCCTTGATGACAGCTTTGCACACTCTTGGCATTCCCTCAACCAGCTTCATGAGGTAGTCACCTGGAATGCGTTTAAATTAACAGGTGTGCCTTGTTCAAAGTTAATTTGTGGAATTTCTTTCCTTCTTAATGCGTTTGAGCCAATCAGTTGTGTTGTGACAAGGTAGGGGGGGTATACAGAAGATAGCCCTATTTGGTAAAAGACCAAGTCCATATTATGGCAAGAACAGCCCTGTGTAGCTCAGTTGGTAGAGCATGGCGTTTGCGACGCCAGGGTTGTGGGTTCGATTCCCATGGGGGGCCAGTATGAAAAATGTATGCACTCACTAACTGTAAGTCGCTCTGGATAAGAGCGTCTGCTAAATGACTAAAATGTAAATGTAAAAAAATAAGCAAAGAGAAACGACAATCCGGAAAATCCGGAAAATTTCAAGAACTTTGAAAGTTTCTTCAAGTGCAGTCGCAAAAACCATCAAGCGCTATAATGAAACTGGCTCTCATGAGGACCGCCACAGGAAAGGAAGACCCAGAGTTACCTTTGCTGTAGAGGATAAGTTCATTAGAGTTACCAGCCTCAGAAATTGCAGCCCAAATAAATGCTTCACTGAGTTCAAGTAACAGACACATCTCAACATCAACTGTTCAGAGGAGACTGCGTGAATCAGGCCTTCATGGTTGAATTGCTGCAAAGAAACCTCTACTGAAGGACACCAATAAGAAGAAGAGACATGCTTGGGCCAAGAAACACGAGCAATGGACATTAGACCGGTGGAAATCTGTCCTTTGGTCTGATGAGTCCAAATTTGAGATTTTTGGTTACAACCGCTGTGTCTTTGTGAGACGCAAAGTAGGTGAACGGATGATCTCTGCATGTGTGGTTCCCACCATGAAGCATGGAGGAGGAGGTGTGATGGTGCATTGCTGGTGACACTGTCTGTGATTTATTTAGAATTCAAGGCACACTTAACCAGCATGGCTACCACAGCATTCTGCAGCGATACGCCATCCCATCTGGTTTGCGCATAGTGGGACTAATTTGTTTTTCAACAGGACAATGACCCAACACACCTCCAGGCTGTGTAAGGGCTATTTGACCAAGAAGGAGAGTGATGACCTTGGATCGCAGAGTGTAGGAAAAGCAGCCAACAAGTGCTCAGCATATGTGGGAACTCTTTCAAGACTGTTGGAAAAGCATTCCAGGTGAAGCTGGTTGAGACAATGCTAAGAGTGTGCAAAGCTGTCATCAAGGCAAAGGGTGGCTACTTTGAAGAATCTCCAAATAAAAAATTAAAAATTGATTTTTAACACTTTTTTGGGTTACTACATGATTCCATATGTGTTATTTCATAGTTTTGATGTCTTCACTATGATTCTACAATGTAGAAAATAGTAAAAAATAAAGAAAAACCCTTGAATGAGTAGGTGTCCAAACTTTTGACTGGTACTGTACGTACATACATACATACATACATACATACATGTACCTTTTATATGCAACCTGAATACACTAGTGGTATACATACATACATACATACATACATACATACATGTACCTTTTATATGCAACCTGAATACACTAGTGGTATACATACATACATACATACATACATACATACATACATACATACATGTAACTTTTATATACAACCTGAATACACACACAGTAAAATAGGAGAAGAAGTGGGACAGGTTGCAGCTTTGGCACTAGTGCTTGATAATAGAAGAGGATAGTGAAGTATTACATTTCGCTTTTTTACATTCACTTGACATACATATAATGCACATACCACACACCAGTTTACAGATGTTATTTTTATATGGGAGATGTACATTATTTTCCACACCTTCATCCACAATACCACAGTCACCTCACAGCTTTGGTGTGGTTTCAGGGAAACTCAGAAAGCAGATACGTAAGGCCTGTCTGCCGGTAGACATCGCCCTCTTGTGGCTGCCCACTGTAGTACACATGCATTCCACAAGGGTACTGTCTGAAAGTTTGTGAACCATGCATTGATTGCAGTGATTTTAATTGGTCAAACATAAAGGTTAGGCAGGCCGTTTATAGCCTATAGTTTAGTTGGATAAGGTAGAGAGAAAAACACACCAAACCAAAAGCTTGTAAGATGTTAAAAGCAAGGTATTTATTTTGTTTTTTTTTAAATTATTCTCTTTGGAAAGGAGTATGGTCCAAGCCAGGTAAGCAGACAGACAACTGTGTGTGCGCGCGAATGCTCTCAACGTTTCTAAAGTTGTCAGCCTTTTCTACCATCCTAAACGGATTACGTTTACGTTTCTACTTTACATAGCCTCCGGTCATTTTACTATAATGCAAATGAAGACACTATTATACGCTCTTCAATTATATGAATGGTGTCTTTTTTTTAAAAAGCGTAACAGAGTAGATTTTATTGCATTTTATGTTGAATGCACTATTTTGGAAGAAGTCCTCATTTTTTCCTGCTTTGGTTGACGTTCGATTGATGCAAGAGCAGATATGGAAAAGGAAGCGACACATCTCACTCGCTCCTTTTGTCTGCTTCATATACAGTCAATGAACTAAGCGGACCAGACCCAGCTGCTCATGAATTGGTGCCTATTGGAGAGCCACCCCTTACGTAGACAGGAAAAATAAAAAATGGTTAATGGCCTGAGTGGGACATCTAAATGTATTCACCATCTTTGGGAAGAGCTAGAGAGAGTGGAGGATATCCTGTGTTTGGCGCGGAAGGACACCCATCGGCCGCAGTGTGGGGGTTGTGAAGTGGTCTGGCTGAATTTGAAGAGATTTCCTGTGGCGGCGGAGTGATCCGGGCTTGTGGTGCCTGTGCATTTCAGTGTAAAGTCAATGCGAATCTGCAACACGGGAAGAACATGGCGACTTCACTTCATGAGGGGCCCGCTAACCAACTCGACCTGCTCATCAGAGCAGGTAACGTAACGGATTTGATTTAGAACTCGTTCTGGCGGCGACCGTTGGTTGACGCGGTATGTGTGGTTTTTGGCGACCGCTGCGCCCCCATATCCATTTAAGTAGTTTCGTGAAGTAATGGAGGGCAAAGCAGGAAGTGATCACCTTGCTTAGTAACCTGCATGGCGATGTCCGCTTTTCTTCAGACGTTCTTAAAATGTTTCAAAGTACCGTTTGGCTATGAGCACTGGAGGATTAGACTGCAATATGCACGTAGCAGCGTGTGCATATCGTGATTATAGTTTTTCGTCCATGTGTATCATAATAACTGGTTATTCGGGCAGAGAGCGAGCCCCGCTGAAACCAGGAAGTGTTGTAGATGTGTTGTCTTTCCTACGTCTTTGCCACGCTGTCTGAGTCGGAAGGGCATGTGGATTTATGTTTATTCCGCATTTGATCATGGCATTAAATACACAATCTGTATATAAAATCTACCTATCTTGAATCAGTTATGTTGTGATTGGATTATTTCCCTGTATTGAAATATAGTCAATATAAATGTTTTTCCTTGTTGAATAACACACACAGCCACTTTGTTCAAACATTGAATGACACGGAAGTGAGTGAAAACATTTAGTTGAAGGCTGTATTCTAGGAATTTTGTGACTTTTTATTTAATTTATTTTTTGCCATGTTCCGTTTTGAGTCAGATTCGGACCGTTATCTAAGTATGGGCCCAGCGATTTATCCCGTGAAGTGTGTGGAGGCTGCTAACGGTGCACTCACAATGCTGGCTTTTGCCAGTGTCTCATTTAAGTTCAGTTCGGCACACAAACACAAACGTTTGTATTTGTTTTTACATTGGCTAGAGTATTATATTTTCTTTCTTGATTTAACACGATTCTTAAAGTATTTGGGGGATAATTTCGATGGCGGAAGCATTGTTATGCATCTAGGCGGGTTTTGGCTTGATTGACAGGTCTGTTTGACCAACGGCGCTCATGAGGCGTTCGAAATCCTCCAACCAGCCAATGAGCGTTGTTAGATGGGTGGGTGTAGATTACTGAAGTATCCAATGGCGTCCGGGGCGGGGAGTGAGTGACGTGAGGTATGGAGACCGTCTTCACCGTCTTCGAAGAGAACTGGAGGGAAAGGCTACGCGAGTGTAAACACGGAAGTCATAGGGGACAGCACTACTTTTTGTCGGACTTGCTGTTATTGGCTCGGTCAAATAGTTCCAGTTTATTCTTTCTTTCGTGTGGATAAGTAAAGATGAAAATCACATTTATTTACAAGGATTTTGTACATTGAGAAATGCTGACTTTTAGACTCAATTGGTTTTTACAGGTGTTAATTAATTAGTAGTGCAGCAGTACATTTACAACCGATTCTGTACCCAACAAAAGATTCGGATAACCAACCTCGCTTAACTAAACACGGACTGTTGAACCAATCCCTAGAAATATGAAAATGCGTAACATTGATCTCAGACAGACTTTTACAGTTAAACCCAGACATATAATACGCTTACAGATAAATGTGTCTTAGCATGTATGTCAAATGGCTATGTTTATAGCCTATGTATCTGTGTCAAAGTATCCAGTGCCCAGGCTATGTTATGGTCTATGGTGTTTTATTTAGGTGGTCCTGCCTGGTTTCAAGTGCAGCTCGGCCTATCAGGTGGCTATAGTAGTTCTAGCCCTTAGTGGTGTGTTTGTTTATGTGTGTGGGGCTACCGTTTGGTTGTGTGAGACGACGGGTAGTGTGTATCAGGGTCTGTCTCCTAAAGATAGCCCCCCCTGTGCCTGCCTCATAACCTAACATGGGCAGGGGTGATGGTAACCAGAGACGTGCTTCCCAGAGAGAGACAACAACAGGTGCCCTGGGCTGAGTCCCAAATGGCAGCCTATCCCTTATATAGTGCATCACTTTTGACCAGGGCCCATAAGAACGTCCCGTAGGGCGCTGTTCAAAAGTAGTGCACTATAAATGGAATAGGGTGCCATTTTGGACGGACCCCTGGGCTTAGTCTCCTAGTTCCTCAGAATGACTGCATACCCATACTAATAAATTGCGTCGTTTTTTTTTCTTTGTCAAACAATTCCTAGCCCTTATTATTTACTGTGACCAGATGAGCCCAAGGAAACCCTATAGACCCCTTGTTGTAGACAGCCCATGCTGAGGAAAACAAAGGCCCAGAGTTTTCCCCTTATTGGGTCATTTTATATGGGGAAAAACTTTATACAGCCCAAAGATGAGGAAGGAGGAAACCATCACTTCTAACCAAGACTTATTTGGACGCAGCCTGAGTGTATGGCTAGTAAGTTACTTGATGCTCTTTAACACCTGTTTCAAGGTCAGTCGTACGCTGTAGGTCATAGTGGTTAAGGATAGGACTGTTGTTTGCAGCTGATCCTACATCAGTAATGCCATAGTAACTGGAGACTGAAAGGTTGCTAGGGGGCGCCAGAGAGAGAATGCCAGCTTTGACAGACCTTTAGAAGTCCTATTTCCCTTGAGACAAAATTAGTTGTTTCAAGTGTGAGAAGTGTATTAAACAAGCCATTGAAGGGTCTGAAACTTTAGTTTGGTAGTAAACCGTTAAAGGCGGCAGGTAGCTTAGTGGGTAAGAGCGTTGTGCCAGTAACCGAAAGGTCGCTGGTTCTAATCCCCGAGCCGACTAGGTGAAAAATCTGTCGATGTGCCCTTAAGCAAGGCACTTAACCCTAATTGCTCCTGTAAGTTGCTCTGGATAAGAGCGTCTGCTAAATGACTAAAATGTAAATGTAAAATGGAACGCCGACAGTGCTTTCACAATAAAAACAAAGCAGTGGAAATCTGAGGTAACCAAACACAACTTTTATTTCCAGTAGGATGCATCAGAACCCATCTGTACTGTACAAGTAATGAAATGTCTACACCGGCTGTACAGACCTGCAACGGTGTCTACACCGGCTGTACAGACCTGCAACGGTGTCTACACCGGCTGTACAGACCTGCAACGGTGTCTACACCGGCTGTACAGACCTGCAACGGTGTCTACACCGCCTGTACAGACCTGCAACGGTGTCTACACCGGCTGTACAGACCTGCAACGGTGTCTACACCGCCTGTACAGACCTGCAACGGTGTCTACACCGGCTGTACAGACCTGCAACGGTGTCTACACCGGCTGTACAGACCTGCAACGGTGTCTACACCGGCTGTACAGACCTGCAACGGTGTCTACACCGGCTGTACAGACCTGCAACGGTGTCTACACCGGCTGTACAGACCTGCAACGGTGTCTACACCGGCTGTACAGACCTGCAACGGTGTCTACACCGCCTGTACATACTTGCAGCGGTGTGTTTCACCTGTACTAACGTGTGTTTTCTGTGTTTCAGTGGAGGCGTCCGTCCATTATCAACAGTCTGGCACCAGGATCTACTGTTCTGATAAGACCATCGAGGCTGCCGAGGCTCTGCTGCACATGGACTCTCCTACCAGCCTGAGAGGGGACCGCAGCCCAGGTAACTAACACACACACACACACACTTATTTTGATATTTTAGTTGTATTCATGATGGCATATTCCATCCATAAGCAGCTTATATACAAGAACAGAGAGACATCATTGATGTAATAGATCTCAGATGATTTCTTATAAATGTTGGTGTTCACACAACGTCATATCCACCAGAACACACACACACACTACACACACACAGTTTCTCTCTTCATAAAGTGTTCCGTCTTGTCCCACTAGACGTGTTCATCCCGGCAGCGTGTGTGACCACCCCAGACTTCCTCCACGCTGCGATGCGTCCAGACGTGATGACCGAGACTGTGGTGGAGGTGTCTACAGAAGACTGTGTGGACGAGGACATGGAGGTCACCCTCATAGAGGAACCAGACCAATCAGAGCCTGACCACCAACCCGTCAGAAAGAAGAAAGGTTAAGATGACTTTAAGACAGGATAGAATACTGGCTAATCCAATGAGAAATCAAGAAACTTTCCATAATACTACCCAAAGATACTGTCTGTTGATTAAGACCTAAAAGTAATGCTAAAGTGCCTCAATTCGTTTAATGATAACAGCAATATAAAGATGTTGATAAATAGGAATTGAATTGTCAGACTGGCTGTATCTTGTAGACAGGATGTTGATGGTAAATAGGAATGAATTGTCAGACTGGCTGTATCTTGTAGACAGGATGTTGATGGTAAATAGGAATGAATTGTCAGACTGGCTGTATGTTGTAGACAGGATGTTGATGGTAAATAGGAATTGAATTGTCAGACTGGCTGTATGTTGTAGACAGGATGTTGATGGTAAATAGGAATGAATTGTCAGACTGGCTGTATCTTGTAGACAGGATGTTGATGGTAAATAGGATTGAATTGTCAGACTGGCTGTATCTTGTAGACAGGATGTTGATGGTAAATAGGATTGAATTGTCAGACTGGCTGTATGTTGTAGACAGGATGTTGATGGTAAATAGGAATGAATTGTCAGACTGGCTGTATCTTGTAGACAGGATGTTGATGGTAAATAGGATTGAATTGTCAGACTGGCTGTATGTTGTAGACAGGATGTTGATGGTAAATAGGAATGAATTGTCAGACTGGCTGTATCTTGTAGACAGGATGTTGATGGTAAATAGGAATGAATTGTCAGACTGGCTGTATCTTGTAGACAGGATGTTGATGGTAAATAGGAATGAATTGTCAGACTGGCTGTATGTTGTAGACAGGATGTTGATGGTAAATAGGAATGAATTGTCAGACTGGCTGTATCTTGTAGACAGGATGTTGATGGTAAATAGGAATGAATTCTCAGACTGGCTGTATCTTGCAGACAAAGGGCACCAACTATTGGCAGATTGGGAGATTGCAAGCAATGTGAAATGCTCATGTCTTTCACTGATTAATGTTAGTTGATTTAGATTTAGTTTGAATAACTTTATTGGTCTTGTCTGTGTAGCGGGGAGGAAGCCAAAGCCTCACCAGCCTGCTGTGTCCAACGGATCACCGGACCTCGTCATCAAGAAGAAACCCAGAGAAGGAAAAGGTATGACAGACCTAATGTATTATATAAAGGACCCATACATCAACTCTGAGGATGTCATGTGTTGAATATTCACCTCTTTGTGACGTTAACCTGTTGCCTGTAAACATGGAGGAAGGGATAAATATCAGCTTCCTGTTGACCGACCTGTCTGTCTATGCTCTCCAGGAAGCACCACGTACCTGTGGGAGTTCCTGTTAGATTTACTCCAGGACAAGAACACCTGTCCCAGGTATATCAAGTGGACTCAGCGAGAGAAGGGTATCTTCAAGCTGGTGGACTCCAAGGCTGTGTCCAAGCTGTGGGGCAAACACAAGAACAAACCTGACATGAACTATGAAACCATGGGGCGGGCTCTGAGGTGAGGGCTTACCCAAGAACTGTCTTATCACTTGAAATGGACTGGCGTTGACTGTGATGTGTGTGGGTATGTTGTTGGTGTGGGGTATACTGTTGGTTGTATGAGCTCTACCACTTCCAGTTCAGTCTGAACTTTACCACTCTCCCTCTATTTTCTCCCCCTTCCTCGTCCCTCTCTTCCTATCCCCTCTCCTCCCTCATCTATTCCCCCTCTCTCTCTCCCTCCCCTCTCTCTCCCTCCCCTCTCTCTCTCCCTCCCTATCCTTCCTCCTCCCTCTACCAGGTACTACTACCAGCGTGGTATACTGGCCAAGGTCGAAGGTCAGCGGCTGGTCTACCAGTTCAAGGAGATGCCCAAGAACATCATTATCATCGAGGACGACAAGGCCGACTCCAGATCGGACGATCTGATTGGCTCAGAGAAGTCTTACCACGAGAGAGTCCCGCCCTCGTCGGAGACGATACTGAATGTGGCCGAGCTCGCCAAGACGCCCACCATCCTGAGGGGCGGGACTAGAACCATAGTCCATGCACCGGTTGCTAAGGGCAACAATGTGGTGATGACTGGGGGCGGGGCGGCGGTGGGGGTTCCGAGGATAGTGACCGTTTCCACGGCGCCAGACGGAACCCAGACGCAGCATTCTCACACGGCCATCATCCCCACCGTCTCAGGACCCAGGTTAGAGAGAGAGAGACACACCCTAATACTGACCGTAAAATAGTTTGTTTATATCTATCTAGCAATATCTAGTAAGTTTGTATTTACAAAACTTTGTCAGACTCCAGTTTGTTATTGTTTCTGTCTCCAGGACTGTACGGGTCGCCATGCAGGTGCCTGTAGTCATGACAACATCACTGGGCCAGAAGATCTCAACGGTTGCCATGCAACAGGCGCCGGGGACGTCGGGAGGCCAAACAACGTACCAACTGGCCAACGCCTCTCCCATCGGCACGGCAACGGGCAACGCCAGCTCACAACAGAAGGTGGGTAACCACTAGTTAGCTAGTGGATGTGTCAGCCAGCTACACTGTAGACAGAATGGACAGTTTGACTTGGCTGAACTACACAGGCACGCCTCATACTAACCATCAACGATTGAAAACTTGAATCTTGTAAACCATATAGTTAACTTTTGATCCCATAAAATTAAAGTGACTAGGTCTAATCCTTTACCTTCTACATCATACATTTTCACCCAGGTTGTATTCAGACCGTCCCACCACTCTGTATAGATCTAGAATGAGTAGACCTGTTCCTAACAGTATATCTCTTCTCTCCAGGTTGTATTCAGACCGTCCCACCACTCTGTATAGATCTAGAATGAGTAGACCTGTTCCTAACAGTATATCTCTTCTCTCCAGGTTGTGATCCAGACCGTCCCCACCACTCTGTATAGATCTAGAATGAGTAGACCTGTTCCTAACAGTATATCTCTTCTCTCCAGGTTGTGATCCAGACCATCCCCACCATGGTTCCGGCCACGGCAGAGAACGGAGACAAGATCACGGTCCAGCTGGCTAAGATCATCACCATCCCAGCCCACCAGCTGGCCCAGTACCAGCAGCAGCGGACCAAGCCCGGCCTGGGGGGCTCCCCGACGGGCAGCGTTTCTCTCCTGGGCGGGACAAACTCCTGGGGGGTCCGAGCCCTGGCACCTCATGTTACCATGGCTCCAGGGACACAGGTGACATTTTTAATTTTTTGGCAATTTTAAGCTAGAAATAGGAAAACGCATACTTTGAAACATCACGAGATACTGTAATTCAAGCAAAAAAGTATTGCATTTGGGAACAGACTTGTGTGCGATTATTAAATTTTTTACTAATTCAAATATTTTGTCCCCTGTAACCAAGGTGATGAGGCTGGCTGTTCCCACAACGCTGCATCATCAACAGACGCATCATATCGTCACAACAACGCAAGGTGGCGGGACAGGGACGGCAGTGGTCACCGTGACGACGACCGCCAACCGGAGTGCTCCGTCGGCGGCACCCCATATCATCAGCGGCATCATCAAAAGTTCTGACATCGCCACGGCAATGAGAGAACAGCAACAACAGCAAGCCAAGACGCTGACAGTTCAAACGGTGTCGGTACAGGCCGTTCCGGTCCAGACGACGTTACCGGAAGCACCGGAGAAGGACAGTCCGAGCCGCGAGGCTGTCGCCACGGAGATCGTCCCGGTAGTCGTCCAATCAGAAGATCCAGAGTGTTGAGAGGTCACAAGTACGGACACACGCATACCTATAATCATTGTTTGTACAGTTTTTGCCCAGATAGGAGTTTGTTCCTCTTTTTCTACCTGACAGTCTGAGAGACTATAAAGACCCACAACCACCTCTGATTTACCCTGGGGGGGGGGGGGTCTACCTTCCAACCACAGCCTCATCTCTCCCTGGAGACCCAGGGTGTGACCCTATTCCCTATACAGTGCACTGCTTTAGTAGGCAACAGGGTGTCATTTGAATCGTACACGACTGGAGGACACCCAACCCACATAGGAACCCAGCAATGACTTTTCAAAAGGGAAGAATCTCCTTTCAGAAAAAGGGACCAAGTCAAACTCAAATCACTACATTTCTGTTTCTGGCAGACGAGACTCTAGCTAACTAAGCTACAGGAAAAAACGCAAACACTAAACAAATGTAATGATAAAAACCAAACTGGTAAGGATAGAGATGGATGGGGGGGGGGGGGGGTGCTTTGTATAGAAATGTTCTTTTTGTGTTTTTATTTTTCTCTTGTGTAAAAAACCAGCCTTTTATTTGACGATCACTGTGCAGATGTAGGATGGTACACGCTGCTACGCATCACACACACCACATGAAAGACTGTTCTAGGATCAGCTCTTACAAGGGAAGAATAAAAAGCTAAAGGGACTTTATATGTATATAACTATTATACAGTTTATGGAGTTAAATGCAAAACAAAACAGCCTTAGAATGATTTGTTTTATTTTTCATTCATTGTTTATAAGATAAACCTGATCTAGGTTTGTGTTACGGTTTCTTCTGACTTTTGATACCTTGTACCAAGCACAGTGTTATAAAACAATACGGCATCACATTTTTCTATTGTGGTTTGAAGCCCAGGTCAGTGTATGTGGGTTGGTTCCAGGGTTGGGGTCAAAATCCATTTCAATTCAGGAAGTATACTGAAATTCCAATTCTCTTCAATGGTGACAGATTGGAATGGACCCCAACCCTGGTTGGTTCTAGTAGGCCTTGACCATAGGCTTACTAGATCTAATTCCCCGTGGTAACTGTCTCTAGGGTAACTGCCTGCAGCTTCCATTTTGGGGCCTCCATTTCTTTTGGGTAGATTTCGAAAATCTCATCAGCATGAACTTCTCGTCAGCCATCTTGGCTCTGCCCCCTATATTTTCTTTAGCATTTTTTGCTTATTCTTAGTTCTATAAAGATGTTCGGACTGAACTAGTTTGTATATTCAACATTTGAAGTATTCTATTTTGTTGTACTCTTGTTTCAAAGTGTATTCAAGTAGATTTTACTGAAATATAAAAAAACATTTGAATTAAACGATTCTCCTTTTTGTCTTTTTGTTTAAAAAAAGTGAAATGATGCTCTTGCAAACGCGCCAACAATGCACCTTTTTAAAGGCAATGTTCCTGCATTTGCGGTAAATACTACCGGTGTTGGCTCAGACATTGGCCGTGTTAGAGAGTGGTGATCTACACACCACCGGGACCTGTTCCAACTGGGGATTTGAACCTGCCTGCACAGTGAAATCCATTTTTTTTTAAACAATGTAGTTGATTAGAACTAATAACCCTTTGGTTGCAGGGATTCTGTTTCAAACAGTATTTAACCACCAGTGTTTAACTAGAAATAGTTGAATGGGAGTGGGAACAGACTGGCTTCAATGGCTCAACTGCTTGGTGCAGAGTGACTGCAGTCACAAGGTTGTGAGTTCGTCACCCGCCTGACTTATAACGGCTGCAATGTGCTTAGTTGTAATTCAAAGTGTATAGACGGAGCGCAGCGGTTTTCAATAGCTCAGGTGGTTGGAGCACGGTACCATTAATCAGAGTTATAGGTTCAATCCCCATAAGGAACACACAGCAGACTTCTAGCCATCACTATGCTGTAGTTGGTCTCCACATTTCACATCCTGGTGATGAGCGTTAACTGTTATGTATTCATTGTTCCACAACTTGCCACCAGGGGGCATTGGATGACATTTAAGCTGATGAGGTAGATAGTGCTTTATAAAACAAACACCGAGACAGAGAAGAAGGGCAGGTTATTTTTATTGCACACAGGCTGTCAGCTTGAATATAAACTACTGTTATCCTGGGACTATGCTGCTCATGGACAGGTTATGAATTGGAAACAACAGTATGCATGTTGGTAGTCGTGGTTTCCCACTGGGTCCCCCCCCCGCCCCAGACAAACAATGTATGGACGCACTCCTGTAAGTTGCTTTGGATAAAAGCATCTGCTAAATGGCATAGATTATTTTCATATTACAAATTAAATGTACCATGGTGGTGTTCTCTCCACCAGCTGTCCAGCGTCTGAACGGGGGCGCGTTCAGCAGGACGCAACGTTCAGATAGAAATATGATATGTAGAAGAAGGAATCGCGTTGGCTATATTTGTGGTATTTCTATCTGCAACGTTCAAGAAACGTTTTTTGTACTGAACATGGTCCAGGTACAAGAATCAGTAGTCATTAACGACACACCTGACCAGTATTAGACCAGGATATATAGATCAGTCACTGACCACCTTCCGGAGACACTTGAAACCCTCTTTAAGGAATACCTGGAATAGTATAACAGTAATCCCCCCCCCAAAAAAGTGGTTGTCCCACTGTCTATCATAAGTTGAATGTGTGTGTTGAATGCACCAATTTGTAAGTCGCTCTGGATAAGAGCGTCTGCTAAATGACGTAAATGTAAATATACATATATATATATATACACACAGTGCATTTGGAAAGTATTCAGACACCTCGACTTTTTCCACATTTTTTACGTTACAGCCTTATTCTAAAATGGATTAAATTATACCATAAAGGCCTGATTGGTGGAGTGCTGCAGAGATTGTTGTCCTTCTGGAAGGTTCTCCCTTCTCCACAGAGGAACTCTGTCAGAGTGACCATTGAGTTCTTGGTCACCTCCCTGACCAAGGGCCTTTTCCCCCGATTGCTCAGTTTGGCCAGGCGGCCAGCTCTAGGAAGAGTCTTGGTGGTTCCAAACTTCTTCCATTTAAGAATGATGGAGGCCACTGTGTTCTTGGGGACCTTCAATGCTGCAGAAATGTTTTGGTACCCTTCCCCAGATCTGTGCCTCGACACAATCCTATCTCGGAGCTCTACGGACAATTCCTTCGACCTCATGGCTTGTTTTTTGCTCTGCACTGTCAACTGTGGGACCATATATAGACAGGTGTGTGCCTTTCCAAATCACGTCCAATCAATTGAATTTACCACAGGTATACTCCAAATCAAGTTGTAGAAACATCTCAAGGATGATCAATGGAAACCGGATGCACCGGAGCTCAATTCCGAGTCTCATAGCAAAGGGTCTGAGTACTTATGTAAATAATATATATATATATTTTTTAAATAAATACCCCCCTGAACGGAAGCAGCCCAGGAAAAGTAATACCCTTGTTGAATAGTACAGACAGCAGGTAGGGTGCAACCATCAGTGTCAGAGGGGACCATAGAACCTTCAGCCTAGTTTCAGCAGTCTATCCCATCAAATGTTATTCATAAAGACCTTTTTACATCAGCAGATGTCGCAAAGTGCTTATACAGAAACCCAGCCTAAAACCCCAAACAGCAAGCAGTGCAGATGTAGAAGCACGGTGGCTAGGAAAAAAACTCCCTAGAAAGGCAGAAACCTAGGAAGAAACCTAGAGAGGAACCAGGCTCTGAGGGGTGGCCAGTCCCCTTCTGGCTGTGCCGGATGGAGATTATAACAGTACATGGCCATTAAGGCCAGATTTTTCTCCAAGATGTTCAAAACGTTCATAGATGACCAGCAGGGTCAAATAATAATCACAGTGGTTGTAGAGGTTGCAACAGGTCAGTACAGGTAGTCCTGAGGCATGGTCCTAGGGCTCAGGTCCTCCGGGATGGGAGGGAGAGAGAGAGTCCATCCCGTCCAGTCTATCCCGTCCAGCCCTCTCTTTGTCTCTCCTTCATTCAGTGTTTTAGTCGATGAAAACATGACTTCTGAAAAGTAAGCTCACACCAGAGGGTAGTGTACTCCATCCATCCCTCTCTCATTCCCTCTTTCACTCCTCCTGTTCTCCAGTCATCATACCCCAGAGAGATGTGTCCGGACTCGGGAGGGATAGTGGTGCTTCGGTTCCCTCCATCCTTCCATCCCTCGTTCCGTCAATCAAAAGTTTCCATCTGGTCCTCTTCACTCCCCATCCCTCACTCCTGCTTTTTAAAGCTGAAGTCACACACCAGCGAGAGGTGATCGGAGGGGTAGTTATACGATGGAAGCCTGTTAGGGCCAATCTGTTCCTCTGTAGGCATAGCCAACACCGCGTCCACACTGAAAGCTTCTCTAGAGTACCAGATATAGTCCAATGTGCTACAACATTCTCCCGTAGGCCGGATCTTCCACGTTGTATAGGCCGGTTCCGAAAGCCCGTCCCGGCTTAACCCTTTATAGGCCGAGTCAAGGATCAACGGTGACGACGCGAAACGTTGGTAGACGTCCTCGGAAGGCACAGCGTTGAAGTCCCCGCAGACAAGGAGAGGGGTGTCTGGGGCGGTGCCCGTGGGACCCCCTGGTGATTGGGTGAGGGTGGTGAGGTTCCGGAGAAGGTCGGAACCCTGGGCACTACGGAGACGTTCCCAGCCGCTCCGGGCTTTGAGGTGCGTCACGGCAACACACAGCCGCCGGCCTGTCGCCCTGCAACGCAGCGTCGTGACGACCGCCACCTGTAGGGAAGACATTTGCATAAAACAGTTAAGGGTTACATTCCAGTCTGTATTTTGAACAATCTATACAAACCGTAGCTCTCCAGCAGGAGGGTTGACCACCCCTGCCTGCTATAAAATAGGGTCCTGTTGGAATGCTTCCTTCCATCCTTCCTTGAGGTAATCTCAGATCTCTATGTGCTTGGAAAGCAGCGTTTCCTTCATATTACTGTCAAACCTTGTCAGACCTGTGATTACTTCAAGGAAGAAATCATATTTTCTTTGTATCCATACATGGTAGTTAACTAGCATAGTTTTACAAACCTGGTTGGTGGGTATTAAAACAGCACACAGCCGGACGTTCACACTATCCAGCAAGTCAAACCGGGCTTCATCATAGAACAGAGCACACCCATCCGGACCATTGTTGCCCTTCACATCCAAACATGGAGACCAGGGTTTGGGGCAGAAGTTGCCGCGGTAACCTAGGCTGGCCAGGATTGGCTGGAAGGTGTCGTAGTAGTGGTCGACTTCCTGTAGACACAGGATGTGAGGTCGATAGGTGAGGATCTCTTCTAGGATGAGGTATTTACGCGCCGCCCAGTTCAGGGCTTCCAGGGGACAGTTGATGAAACTGTCCATACCTTCACCTAGAGCTGGAGGGAGGAGGGGGAAGAGAGAGAGATCATTCATCTGTCAGTCTATCCATCTCACTGTCCTTCATGTTTGGAATTAAAATGTGCAATAAAAGATACCATTTAATAACCCTGAATGAGATGAAACGTTGATGATTATATGTGCTGAAGAAAGGCTACAAGAAAAAAAAAAAAACATCTTTACCTTGAGCCAGTATGTTCCACTGCATAACCCTGATGGTCCTCTGGGTGGCGCTGTTGTCCCCTTCCTCCCTGTCCGCCTCTCCCTCCCCGGGGCAGATGAAGGCTCTGAGGAGGCGAGGGGGCCTGTCCCGGAGAGCCTCCTCACACTCCCTCAGCAGCTCCAGGGGGTCCGCAGGGTGCTCCCCCGGGGAGGGGGAGGGGTGCTGGGGGTCCTGGTGATGGGCCAGTGGGGTGGTAGTGGTGGTGTTGTTGTTGTTAACTAGGGTCTGGGCCAGGGAGCTGTAGAGTCTACTGGCACCACTGCCCATTGGACAGACTGGAGGGAGGGGGCGGAGACAGAGAGAGGGTGTAGGGAGATAGAAAACATTGTAGGGGTTACAACAATTACATTGTCATATGATATTTTAATCCAACACCAAGCTCCAACTATTTTAACCACAACTCTCAGTGATCCCCACAACACAGAACCACACAAAAGGGCCAACAAGGGTACCCGGGGTAGATACCATCCCAGAAATAGGTGACTGTCTCTGGGGAGAAGTCCTGCTAACCCTAGGCCTCACTCCCCACATGCCTGGTTCCTCACATTGTAACAGGACCTAGTGTTGTACTTATCCATGTCTACTGCTGTAGGAACACCAGCTAACGCTTTTCCCTACACACTGATCATAGGTCAGTTTTACCTCTAGCCCTTTATGGTTAAGGTTAGGATTTGGGGAAGGTAAGCTGATCCTAGATCTGTGCTTAAGGGTGACATTTATCCTTATTGCTCTCTCAATTCAGAGAGGATCCGACCAACCAAAACACACTAACCTAATCCCCTTGGCCAATCAGGAGTAAGTTCAGGTGAGATTGGGGTTGTTGCCAGGTGAAGATCACCTATTGACTACAGTCACCTGACTTGGAGCACAGAACAGATTGACAACCTGGGCCTTTGTTTTCTACCTAAAGTTTTTTTGGGGGCACAGAAAGAAAACATGATCTAAATAGGACATCTAAGGGTGCGTGTGGACTATTGGACTGGGGGGAAATGTGTGTGTTTTTGCAAGGCAAATTGTGTGTGTGGTTCAGTTCATGTGCGGCTACAGAAAGACTGTTTCTTAGCTGGTTCTGACTGCCAAAGCTGGCTGATGAGCCTTACCTTGTCCTTGGACAACAGTAGCTCTGTGTGTGTGTGTGTGTGTGTGTGTGTGTGTCATCTCTGGTTTCAGCCAGTCAGTGTTTTCGTGTGTTTCCTTCCTCCTAAGTGTGTGTGTTCTTTTGGCTCCGTCTCTCTCTCGCTCCACTTTCAGTTGGTCAATGTGTGAGTGTGTGTGTACTGTTTATTTCTCTGCTGTCAGTATGTGTGTCAGTTCCTCTTTTCTCTCTCTCTCTCTCTCTCTCTCTAAACTAGTCACATGCACCAGTGACCCTACAGCCCAGTTTATAGTGGCCCGTTTCCACGTGGACAACAGTATGCTGTGTGCTGTGAGATAAACATGAGCGTCAGCTGAGTATGTTCCTCTTTTTGCCTCCTCTGGACACAGTTTATAGTAGTTACACATCGTTCAGCTCTATCTAATCAATCAGTCTAGTTTCACTTCTACTGGCAGCTTGTGGTTGGACTAAATCTCCCAGCTCTCGGTCTAGTCTATCTGGTTTAACAGCAGCTTCTAGTTGGACTACATCTCTCAGCTGTCAGCTCTCTGTCTAGTCTTCAGTGTTTCTAAATTCTATTTTAACCTCTGATGGCCTGTAGTTGAACTGATTACTGTTAGATGATTAGCCTTATCTAGTCGCCTGACATTAGTATCTCTCTATTGCACCTCATTACTGATTAACCTCCTGAAGTTAAAGGGTTATGTCAGGGGAACGGTTATCTGATCCTAGATATGTGGTTAATGGAAACTCCTGAGTATCTATGAATGGTAAATCAACCCATTTAAAAAGGGGAAGGGTGATCTGATCCTAGATCTGTGGTTAATGGGTAAAACAAAACATATACAGCTATTAGGTAGGTTACTAAACAACTGAAATAAGAAGACATTTTGCTGACATTACCACTAAAACACCATCTCTGTGACAACACCAATGGCCATCCAGAAACAGTTAGTGGCCAGCGGCTTTATCACGTGCTGTTTGTTCTATTGCAAACTCCTGATTTCTTATACTAGCCCATATGTACTGACTCCTGATGATCTTATACTAGCCCATATGTACTGACTCCTGGTGATTTTATACTAGCCCATATGTACTGACTCCTGGTGATCTTATACTAGCCCATATGTACTGACTCCTGGTGATCTTATACTAGCCCATATGTACTGACTCCTGGTGATCTTATACTAGCCCATATGTACTGACTCCTGGTGATCTTATACTAGCCCATATGTACTGACTCCTGGTGATCTTATACTAGCCCATATGTACTGACTCCTGATGATCTTATACTAGCCCATATGTACTGACTCCTGATGATCTTATACTAGCCCATATGTACCGACTCCTGATGATCTTATACTAGCCCATATGTACCGACTCCTGATGATCTTATACTAGCCCATATGTACCGACTCCTGATGATCTTATACTAGCCCATATGTACCGACTCCTGATGATCTTATACTAGCCCATATGTACCGACTCCTGGTGATCTTATACTAGCCCATATGTACTGACTCCTGATGATCTTATACTAGCCCATATGTACTGACTCCTGATGATCTTATACTAGCCCATATGTACTGACTCCTGATGATCTTATACTAGCCCATATGTACTGACTCCTGGTGATCTTATACTAGCCCATATGTACTGACTCCTGATGATCTTATACTAGCCCATATGTACTGACTCCTGATGATCTTATACTAGCCCATATGTACTGACTCCTGATGATCTTATACTAGCCCATATGTACTGACTCCTGATGATCTTATACTAGCCCATATGTACTGACTCCTGATTTCTTATACTAGCCCATATGTACTGACTCCTGATGATCTTATACTAGCCCATATGTACTGACTCCTGATTTCTTATACTAGCCCATATGTACTGACTCCTGATGATCTTATACTAGCCCATATGTACTGACTCCTGATGATCTTATACTAGCCCATATGTACCGACTCCTGATGATCTTATACTGGCCCATGTGCCGAGGACACACCACATGTCCCATCTGTTGCTCTGAGACCAGGACATGGCTGTTTACCAGGGTGTGATGACCAAGTGCATGGTTTGAACCTGAGCTATGGTAACTAGGTCAGACTCAGTGATAGGCTAAAGGTAGGGTTTTGCGCTTAAACAAATACTATACATCTGTCTACATTTTCAGTGTGTGTGTGTGTGTGTGTGTGTCGGTCTCTGACAAATGAACCATATGGATATTTTCCAACAGGATCCCTTATCTCTGATCCCTTATCAAAATAAATCTGAATCACTACTGCACCTCGTTCTGAATGATTTCCCTCCTTCATCTAAAAATCCATGAATGAATTGGAGCTATGAAGACTCATTACAGAAAGACAACAAGGCTTACATACAGAGAGATGTAGCTAGCATACTAGTCCCTTGTTTCACCCTAACAGTGACCAAAACAGACAACTGTGTGTGTCTCAACTAACATAAACAACTTTGTGTTGGCCCACTAGGGGCCCTAGCATAGTCTGACCTTATTGGGCGAAATATAACACCGGCACCCCTTCCCCAACATCAACAACTCCCCTCTCAACCAAATAAGGACAAGACTACAACTTAAGAAACAAACATCACACTACCCGTTCTACCCAAACTAAACATTAGGATATACACAACAATATGAAGGAGAATTCATTCATTACATTACAACAACCAATAAGCTGAATAAACTCCAGTGATACTGGCAAGCGCAGTGTACCGGTTTTTTCCCCCTTTCAAGTTACTATCAAATAATTCCCACGCATCTGCAACAAGTAACACAGATGTGCGAGAGCGTTTCCCATTTTGAATTACAACAACCAACATAACCTGCTAACATAAGAGTTGAATAAAGATACCACAGTCATGCTCACCCATAGTTTCCATCAGTATCGTCTCGCTTCCTTGCTTGTTTATCTGACTGACAGTAGCGGTCTTGAGAAAGAACTGTCAGTAAATGTTGCTCAACTTCCGATAACAGTTGACAAAACACTCAATATATTGTCACTCGCTAAGTGTGTGTGAGACGTACTCAGTGGGTTTCTCAGTGAGCTCAATGTTCACTACACCCTATAACCCATAGGGAGGGAGGGAGAGAGGGAGGGAGGGAGAGAGCGGGAGAGAGAGAGAGATAACAGGGGGAGAGAGAGAGAGAGAGCAGGGAGAGAGGGAGGGAGGGAAGGAGAGAGAGAGCAGGTAGAAAGAGGGAAGGGAGAGAGAGATGAGGGAGTGACGACAGCAGACCATATGGGGCGTCAGTAAAGATCATGTGCTGCGGACAGGAGATAATGTTGCACAATCACAACCACTGCTTCACACGCACACACACACAGGGCGCGTTCTTGTATAAAACAGACTTACACAAAGGGAGGGTTATTTCACCACACACACACACACTCACAAGGTTTGTGGTTTGGTTCATGACTGTAGAGTTAGCGGAATCAATGCCAGTCATTAGCAAGCAACCAGTTCAGTGACACACGCACACACAGTTCCGCAATACGTCCAGAGACAGACTTGTGACATGAGGTGTCCACAGACCTGTTGTATCTGCTCTTGTTCCTGACCACAGATGGCGTAGGAAAAAAGTTGATTCATGTATTTCCTTATTAATTTTTCCACTTCATACTGTGCAATTGTCCTATCCCCTATCACGTGTAATCGTCATATCTTCTCCTATCACGTGTCATCGTTGTATCCTCTCCTATCGTGTAATCGTCCTATCCGCTGGTGTTTACTGTATCCATACTGTATAAATTCCTCTGTCTTTATTGTCTATTGCTGGCAACACCATTTCACCAAGTCATATTCTGGGTATATGCAAATGGGATATAAAAATTATATTTTGTCCTGTATCATATTGTAGAACAGCTGATGAAACTAACACTGTAAAAGTCTGCAAGAATGTGATCAGTGTTATTTCCTGATAGTTGCTGGTTGAAAATACAATCTACACAGGACTTTCTAAACAGCAGGTTTTGCATGGGTGGAGTTTTGGCTTGTCTGGTGACATCACCTGGTGGTATAAATAATAGACCAATGACAAAGAGAGTTCCAAACCTCTGCCGATAAAAAGGTAGTATTCAGGTTAAATATCCCTCCTATTTTTGTGTTCAGGATATGACCAACAACCACACTGACCTACTCCATTGACTGTCTGGATTTTTCATTTGTGTACATGATGTAGTTTTTCCCGATGTCATGTTGTGTTAACGGAGAGAAGGGCACATCAGAGCAGTAGACAGACAGACCGTGTGAGAAGGGCACATCAGAGCCGTAGACAGACAGACCGTGTGAGAAGGGCACATCAGAGCCGTAGACAGACAGACCGTGTGAGAAGGGCACATCAGAGCCGTAGACAGACCGTGTGAGAAGGGCACATCAGAGCCGTAGACAGACCGTGTGAGAAGGGCACATCAGAGCCGTAGACAGACCGTGTGAGAAGGGCACATCAGAGCCGTAGACAGACAGTGTGAGAAGGGCACATCAGAGCAGTAGACAGACAGACAGACAGTGAGAGAAGGGCACATCAGAGAAGCAGAGGGGATGGAACACACAGTCAGCTGCCAGGGTGGAAATGTCAATGTGTCATGCACGGATAAAGTGACACTGTCTGAGTGAACATCTCTCTGAGAGGGTGTATGTATACTGTCTGTACTGTGTGTGTGTTTGTGAGAGCGAGAGTACATACAGTGGGGAGTACAGTATTTGATACACTGCCGATTTTGCAGGTTTTCCTACTTACAAAGCATGTAGAGGTCTGTAATTTTTATCATAGGTACACTTCAGCTGTGAGAGACGGAATCTAAAAAATCCAGAAAATCACATTGTATGATTTTTAAGTAATTAATTTGCATTTTATTGCAAGACATAAGTATTTGATCACCTACCAACCAGTAAGAATTCCGGCTCTCACAGACCTGTTAGTTTTTCTTTAAGAAGCCCTCCTGTTCTCCACTCATTACCTGTATTAACTGCACCTGTTTGAACTCGTTACCTGTATAAAAGACACCTGTCCACACACTCAATCAAACAGACTCCAACCTCTCCACAATGGCCAAGACCAGAGAGCTGTGTAAGGACATCAGGGATAAAATTGTAGACCTGCACAAGGCTGGGATGGTCTACAAGACAATAGGCAAGCAGCTTGGTGAGAAGGCAACAACTGCTGGCGCAATTATTAGAAAATGGAAGAAGTTGAAGATGACGGTCAATCACCCTCGGTCTGGGGCTCCATGCAAGATCTCACCTCGTGGGGCATCAATGATCATGAGGAAGGTGAGGGATCAGCCCAGAACTACACGGCAGGACCTGGTCAATGACCTGAAGAGAGCTGGGACCACAGTCTCAAAGAAAACCATTAGTAACACACTACGCCGTCATGGATTAAAATCCTGCAGCGCACGCAAGGTCCCCCTGCTCAAGCCAGCGCATGTCCAGGCCTGTCTGAAGTTTGCCAATGACCATCTGGATGATCCAGAGGAGGAATGGGAGAAGGTCATGTGGTCTGATGAGACAAAAATAGAGCTTTTTGGTCTAAACTCCACTCGCCATGTTTGGAGGAAGAAGAAGGATGAGTACAACCCCAAGAACACCATCCCAACCGTGAAGCATGGAGGTGGAAACATAATTCTTTGGGGATGCTTTTCTGCAAAGGGGACAGGACAACTGCACCGTATTGAGGGGAGGATGGATGGGGCCATGTATCGCGAGATCTTGGCCAACAACCTCCCTATCTCAATAAGAGCATTGAAGATGGGTCGTGGCTGGGTCTTCCAGCATGACAACGACCCGAAACACACAGCCAGGGCAACTAAGGAGTGGCTCCGTAAGAAGCATCTCAAGGTCCTGGAGTGGCCTAGCCAGTCTCCAGACCTGAACCCAATAGAACATCTTTGGAGGGAGCTGAAAGTCCGTATTGCCCAGCGACAGCCCCGAAACCTGAAGGATCTGGAGAAGGTCTGTATGGAGGAGTGGGCCAAAATCCCTGCTGCAGTGTGTGCAAACCTGGTCAAGACCTACAGGAAATGTATGATCTCTGTAATTGCAAACAAAGGTTTCTGTACCAAATATTAAGTTCTGCTTTTCTGATGTATCAAATACTTATGTCATGCAATAAAATGCAAATTAATTACTTACAAATCATACAATGTGATTTTCTGGATTTTTTAGATTCCGTCTCTCACAGTTGAAGTGTACCTATGATAAAAATTACAGACCTCTATATGCTTTGTAAGTAGGAAAACCTGCAAAATCGGCAGTGTATCCGTTTTGTCTCCAAAGCCCCATACACTACCCACCACTGTGACCTGTACGCTCTTGTTGGCTGGTCCTCACTACATGTTCGTCGTCAAACCCACTGGCTCCAGGCCATCTATAAATCACTGCTAGGCAAATCCCCGCCTTATCTTAGCTCATTGGTCACCATAGCAGCACCCACCCGTAGTCTGCGCTCCAGCAGGTATATCTCACTGGTCATTCCCAAAGCCAACACCTCCTTTGGCCGCCATTCCTTCCAGTTCTCTGCTGCCAATGACTGGAACGAATTGCAAAAATCTCTGAAGCTGGAGACTCTTATCTCCCTCAATAACTTTAAGCATCAGTTGTCAGAGCACCTTACCGATCACTGCACCTGTACACAGCCCATCTGAAATTAGCCCACCCAACTACCTCATCCCTATATTGTTATTTATTTTGCTCTTTTGCACCCCAGTATCTCTATTTGCACATAATCTCTTGCACATCTAGCATTCCAGTGTTAATACTATTGTAATTATTCTGCACTATAGCCTATTTATTGCCTTACCTCCATAACTTGCTACATTTGCACACACTGTATATATATTTTCTGTTGTATTTCTGACTTTATGTTTTTTACCCCATATGTAACTCTGTGTTGTTTTTATTGCACTACTTTGCTTTATCTTGGCCAGGTCGCAGTTGTAAATGAGAACCTGTTCTCAACTGGCTTACCTGGTTAAATAAAGGTGAAATAAAAAAATAAATAAAAAATAATTAAAAAAAGTATCAAATACTTGTTCTCCCCACTGTACCTATGTGTCCTTCACTCAAAAGCCAGACGTTAGCACAACAACTTTCCACTGGCTTACCTGCTCATGTCATGTCTATACGCTTGGACCTAGATATAACTAGACTACACCCATCTATACCACTAGGCCCTAGATATAACTAGACTACACCCATCTATACCACTGGGCCCTAGATATAACTAGACTACACCCATAGGACCAGAAGATGGCTGGCCATTTAAATCATGATTGTTAACAGTGATACTGCTTGGCTGCCAACACAGAACTCAAAATGCTTTCTGTAGTGACACGTGACCTGAGAGATACTAAACCGTATGAGAACTGGTGTGAGATGGACAGACCTAGTATTACCTCCAGATTGACTGGCGACTGCTTGTCACTACTTGTCAGGATTGTAGAGTGGCTGTGGGAACTGCTTACTGCCAAGAGTGTGCAAAGCTGTCGTCAAGGCAAAGGGTGGCTACTTCGAAGAATCTCAAATATAAAATATATTTTGATTTGTTTAACACTTTTTTGGTTACTACATGATTCCATATGTGTTATTTCATAGTTTTGATGTCACTATTATTCTACAATGTAGAAAATAGTAAAAATAAAGAAAAGCCCTGGAATGAGTAGGTGTGTCCAAACTTTTGACTGGTACTCTCTCTCTCTATCTATCTATCCCTAGAAAACTAAATTAAAATGGGGTGTTTTCCCGGACACAGATTAAGACTAGTCCTGGATTAAAAAGCACTTTCAATCGAGATTCTCAAATGAGCTTCTTAGTCTATGGCTTAATCACTGTCTGGGAAACCGCCCCCAAGAGTTTTGTCAGAGTTCTGCCATGAACAGACAGGTCTGAAAGAGTCTGGTACCAACATGCAGGCCTACACTTCTTAGGAAAGTGTAGGGCAACAACTTCGTTAAAAATCCCAGTGCAGTTAAAAACATGATTTTACTGTGGTTTATATTCACACTATGGAGGTTGGAATAATACTGTGTAAATGATGATAACGCCCTTTTAGTGTAAGAGCCGTTTGAAAAGACCAC